ACTTATCAATGCATGCACCGCTAATTCTGCACAAAAATATCCATTCATCCAAAGCCAAGTCTATCAAAGTGTAACCTGGTTGTAATTCTCTTTTGTTATAATTACACAAAATGTCTTTTTTTGATTATTTGTCTTGTTCCTTATCTTACTGAAACATATGGAGTTAGATTGAAGCCCCTCCCTTTTATTTCTTCTTCTGTGGTATTGTCTTTAAATTGTTTGCGCCCCTTAGCCCCTCCCCTTTTGTCATGTTGTCCTGCGGGAGAGGACTTGGAGCAGGCAGCCTTTAACACGGTTGTTTTGTCTGTATTCTCGTCAGGTATGTTGTACAAAAATGTTTATTTAGTTTTTTTGTAAGTTGTGAGAGGTGTTTCCCCGCCCCTTTTGTCATGTTGTCCTGCGGGAGAGGACTTGGAGCGGGCAGCCTTTAACACGGTTGTTTTGTCTGCATTCTCGGCAGGTATGTTGTACAAAAATGTTTGTTTAGTTTTTTTGTAAGGTGTTTCCCCGCCCTTTTTGTCATGTTGTCCTGCAGGAGAGGACTTGGAGCGGGCAGCCTTTAACGCGGTTGTTTTGTCTGTATTCTGGTCAGAAATAAACCAAGAATCATCTTTTAAAAGATAAACTGCGTCACGGCCTGTTCACTCAATAACCAGCACAATGCAGAAAAGGATCCGGTTACACACGCACAGTGGCACCTAACCATTATATTACCACCCAATCTAAAAATCAATAAACAAGTTTAGTACAAAGATCATTCAGTTAAAAACTGAATCTCTTAAGCTAGTTTGTAAATGTGACGAAATTAATAACAGGTTTGAACCTTTGGGCTCAAAGGCACATTTAAACCATTCCACAGCTAATATTTGGAGGATTTGTTGTCATAAGTAAAAGTGAAGGAGAACCAGAATAAAGAGTTGGGGTTAGTTGACTCTGACTCAGCTTGACTGGAAGTTCATCCGGAAGAAGATTGCATGAATTGATTAACGTGCCGTTGCTCACGTTACCCTTGTCGACTTCTTACTGGAAAAACATCGACATGTTGACAGCAGATTGGCTCCTTTCACTATAAGGTATTTTGTTCCCCTATAGCATAATAGAATAATAAATGTTCAGGTTATCTCAACAAAAACTAAGTGGAAAGTTTAACTAATCAATCTTCTTCAGCCCAAGCAGCTGCATCTCAGACATGCGTCACCAAGATGTCAGATTCAGTCGTTCAAATCATGCCATCACACTAGAAACGAAGACACTGTGTAATATTGTCTGGTGTGGTGAATCATTGCTTTCTTAGCAATCCAGTAGAGCTGCCTGGGTTTGGCAGTTTCAATTCCAATGAAAATAACTGATGGATGGTGGTAATAAAGTTTGGATAAAACTTGGAATAGAATCAAAATAAATCACATGCAAATTGAGTGAAATGTATCTGTTTGAATGTATTAAAACTTGTTTAACACTAGTTTTGGTGCATGATATTTGTACATGATGTTTAACTATGTTGCTACCTTTCATTGGCAATGATAGGCAGCAGCTTAATCTCAGTGATGACTACCTGGTTAAGTCAAACTTGAATAAATAAATAAAAAATATACATTTATATGGAAACACAATGACTTTAATGTAATGGATGTCTGTCTGAAAACTTGTGTTTTCTTCCCAATGTTGTGAATTTTTAGTGAGCTCATTGCTGGTATTCAAGCCAATGCTTCCTTTTAAGGTGGTAAAACTAACAGCTCACCGTTATGATGTGATTTAATTGTTTTGTTTTTGGGTTTGAAAATGGACATTTTGTTAAATAATTACATACAGCTTTCCTGCTTGCTGCTACTTTTTAGATTTGTGCCTCACATTATAAACACCAAAATATTTAATTTTTTATTTTTTTTTGCAATATTAACATTTTTTGAGTCTGAATTGTATTAAAAATCAGAGCAGTTCCACCGAAACCTGAAACTCTGTTTACTCTGGTGTGAGACGAGGCATGTTCAAGATGAGGTTGGTTTGTTTGTCTTTGATAAACTCTGTAGGAAAGTAACGAGGATTCAGTCTCAGTCGTATCAGATGAGATTCCCTGCATCGATGCAAACAAAGCAAAACATGGAGGACAGCGTCAAGTTGTAGCAGTTTTAATTCCCCATCATGAACTCGATCAAGCACAGGAAAAGCCTTTCACAATACAAGGAGAAACAGAGAACAAAGTACTTACAGAGATGACAGATGGTGTATTTTTCACCTTCATGTCACAGAAGGGAACAAAAAGATAACAATAATAATAATAATAATAATGGGAAATAAAATCAGGAATAAAAACTTGGTTCAACTTGCTTTCACTATTGTGATAAAAACTACAAAAACCTAATAATGTTTAAATCTTTTTGAGGACATACAGAATTATAATACAGAAACACTAAATCTTTACACCCCCCCCCCCTCTGCGTTACTCCTGAAGCCGGGGCAGCATGATCACAGATGAACAAATATCAAGAACTGTACAGAGACGCGAGTCACCAGAGCTTCATCACGAAGACTGGCTGAAATAAAAAGCTTCATTTCACCCATTAATGAAGCGTTTAAGTTCATTTGCAGTCTGTTTTTTTAGGATGCTTGGAATGCGCAAACGTTGGTTGGTGCTTTCGTTTCAGATCTGGTTCAGTTCATAGCCAGGGGAGCACGGTTTATTTGAACAGAGCCAATCCAAAGTAACTTGACTCTTTTATTTGTCCCACATTTTATGTTAAACAAAACCGGTATGAGTCTCAGGTTGGGACTTGATCTGTTTTCTCCTGCCTAAACATGACAAAAAATGAAACTTTCTGCATTTATTTCTTTACTTTGAAGTTGTGTGGGAAGCATCATGTGGGGGACGTCATCTTCACTCTAATCTAAGACGCTTACAGTCACGTGTATGGGTTGAAAACGTAAAATGCCGTATGGGGCGTTGCACATTTCCCAGAATAATGGGGGCTGACATACTAGAGTTCATCTTTCCAGTGAGATTTAATTCTTAAATCCTTTGTGTTTATAAATTACAGTGAAGAGGTTTGGATTTCTATAATTGTGAGAGGTATCTTTTACAGAGAGTGGGTTTGGTACATTGTCTGGTTTACATCAACTCAACAGATGTAAATAAATGATGGCGGAGGGCGAATACAGAACCTGAATGAGACCAGCTGCATCTTTCTAATGTTTAACAACAAATTTCTGCCTTTATCTATGTTTTAAATGAACAGTTTTGTACAATTCTGGGTTCCACAATGTGACAAGAAGCCATGTGTTCATAAGTGGTTTAACTTCTCTGGTAGTAGAAATCCTTCAGAGACAGCGTTTGATTTATTCTAAGGAATGTCGGTTTCTGCTTTTCTGACAGAATTAAGCTCATTTAAACGCAGTCACTTATTTTAGCTCAACTTACTGCTTTAATCTTTTTGTTCATTGAGTTTTTAGTTTTATATGAAATCTTTAAAAAAAAGCAGCAATTTTTGTGAAGAGACTTCTACGCCCTCAGATTAACTGATTTATAACTAAAGTCGAAATCCTCTGAAGTTGTAATTTTAAACAAATTGAGATTTTGGAGGGAGAAACAGAAAGGTGAAAATGTTACTGACTCAATAAAATTATTATTATTTTTTACATATTTGGTTGTGTAAGTTTAAATAAAAATCTTTGAAACATTAACAATATTACCTAAAGGTGGAAAAACCACAGAGTCAATGGGTTTGTGAATAATAATGTTAAATATGCAGATGGTCCAACAGCTCTCCACCTGCAGAACATTCTGCATGTGTCTGATTAACTGGGACAGCAAAGATTAAAGCTGATTAATATTTACAGCCGAGTCCAAACATTTTTCTTCAAAACAAACAAAAAGCAAAAGGTGGAGAAGCTGTGACTTGTTTTTATGCCATTAGTGGGCATCCACAACACAAACAATAAGAATAAAAGAAAGAAAATCTGCAATGTGGGGCAATCAGAGTGCAGAGTGATAATATTCAACTGAACCACAGACAGGGTTTGATTTATTCTAAGGTTCCTTAGAACGGTGCTACCAAAACAGGACCAGCGACAATTCAACTGTGTTTAAACAGCTAAAAAGTCTAAAATGCAGTAAACTCTAATCCTAAAATGGGCCTAAAATAAAATTCATCTGCTCGAATGGGAGGACGGCGAGAGGAGAGGGACAAAAAAAGGATGAGTTTAAGGATGATGAGTTTAAACAGGATGCTGAAGCATTCAAAGATGGTGAACGGTGAGTGCAGGTGGGGGAGTGGAGGGAAAGTTTCAGAGGTGAAACAGAGACAGCTGCAGGAGAAGAAAAGCTTACGGCTGCTATGAGGGGAGATGTGGAGAAAATGGCAACATGAAAACAGATGATGTGAGGATAATGGTGGCATGGTGAAAAGAAGAAGACTGATCAGAGGTATAATTAAATTGGCTGCCAGGTGTTTCATTTGAATAGCTTTTTAAAGTGCTTTGAAATAATCCATTATCAGTGTTTTTCACTGAACTAAAGCGATATTTACAAATCTTTTCATAGTTATTGTTTGTGAGGTGGGTGACTCACCATGACATCATAAATAAAAAAATAAAAGTAAAGGAACCCTAAAGATTTTCCACAGAAAATTTCACATCTTTAAAACAAGTTTTTTTTTTTTTTTTTTTACAGCATAAACAAGTTAAAAGCAATCTTCAAAGCCATCTGTAGTAACACACTGTAAAAACAATCCAAGGTGAAGAATGGAGCTGGTCTGACATTGTGTAATTAGATTCCTGTGCTTTGTGTCGTAAAACCTCCAAACAAAATAAACCTTCAGTCACTAGCTGCCAACAAGCAGGCAGCAGCAGACTTAAGAAAAACAAAACAAACTACCAGTTGGACCTCAAATGAATAAAAACTGTATTTACACACAAACTAGCAACAGGTGAACTGAGAACGTACTTGGATTATTTCTATAAAGTCCCTGAAAGTACCTGTCTGGTTCTCACTGTCAAAACTTACACTTTGAGTTACTTTTATTGATTCAAGGAAAAACCTCAGAATAACTGCACATTTCAATGAAAACTGTCCTTCATTTTTAGATGTCCACATTTTCATTAAATAAAATACACAATTTTTTGCTCCGGTGCATAAAACAAATATAAAAACTGCATTATTTTGCTGTGAAGATGTAAAACTGATGGGTCGGATTTAGTGTCGTAGGTAGTTTTACTGTAAGAGTGGGAAAAAATAAATTTATTATCACAGTTATAGCTGCAATTCAGTATCTGTACAGTTTATATTGGCTGGTGGCAGCAGTTTTAAGACAATTAAGTGATTTTTTTTCTTTTCTTGTTAATTTAACTTATTTTTTTGCAAACATTTTAACCAAGACGTAGGTTTGAGGCGTTTTGCACATTCTTCTTATGCTGTCCCACCTGAAAGAACCAATTTCCTTTTTAAAAAAAAAAAACAACCAAAAATCAAATTTTGTCGTTGGATTAAACAAATCATCCCATTTTCACCTTTGTGTTTATACCTCTGGGAGCTCTGAAAAACAAAACAAAGACACACAGATTTGGTGCGTTGAGATCGACAGGCAGGTCGTCGTGTCCGGATGGAGCTCAGGAGGCGACGGTTCCTCAAACATCCAACCGGACGGCGATGCTAACGTGTTTTCAAGCCGTCTCGTCTCCACCAGGCCTAAGATGTCTGCAGGAAAGACCAGAGACAACATGGAAATATTAAAAACGCCTTTAAAGACAGAAAAAAAGAACAATTATTTAGTTCTTGGGTTATATTCAAGAAGGAACACTATAAATAACGTTATTTAATAAATAAAAACTCACATGAACAGGAGTTCCAGTTCAGCCATTTAATAAAGCTTTGATTAATTGAAGCTTGCTGACATTTACTTGTATGCCAACTCCTGACATGGCTTTTCAGAAATGGTAACGTCTGGACTTTTGGTCCAGTTTGGCTTCAGATGTACCAAACCTTCAGAAAACAGTCACTCAAATATTTTGTTACTGAGGCAACCATCTCTCTCATTCAGAGAAAGACGCTGATTCATCACGTCCACACCAAATTAATAATCAGCTTGAAAACCCATCAGTTTTTCAACAATTAACTTGTAACCTGCTCCAGATGGGGTGGTGCCCAGTTGGTAACTGATTACCATGGAGAAAGGAGAACCCGGGGCAAATTGGACTGCAGTAAAGCAGAAGACATCCGGTTTACGGAGAAGTTGTGGAGGCGTTCCTGTAGATAATCCCACTGTAATCTAAGCTAGGAAGGTTGTGCTTTGAGCGAAAGGTGATTTGTAATGATAGAGACGTTTGGATTTAAAGGAAAGTGAAGCTTAGAGAAGGCAACAGGTCAAGTTGGACTAGATACGAACAAAACGGTGTCATCAGCATATAAACGGATAAGAACTGCTAGCACAGCAATAGGATTGGATCTAATTAAGACTGGAAAACATTGTACATGTCCAAAGACGCAGGTTTTTAAAGTCCTTCCACTGGCTCTCTGAGTAGACTTTAAAATACTTCTGTAAGTTTATAAATCACTGCTTAGCACTTAAAGATCTGCTGCTGCTGGATCAACCTTCCAGACCTGTCAGGTTCTGGTTCTGGTCTGCTCTACAGCCAGAACCAGAACCACGCAAGGAGAAGCAGCATTCAGCTTCTATGCACCACAAATCTGGAACAAACTTCCAGAAAACTGAAAAACTGCAAAGGAGGTATAAATGTTCATGTACGTCAGTGTCGGCCTCAAAGCCTAAACATCTGTGGTGGTAAATAATTGTTCCGTTTGCCATATGGATGCTGTGGTGTATCTTCATTATGTTATGTATTTATCTGCAATTGTCCATCTAACTGGAAAGCAAATTGTCCCTTTGGGGGACAAAGTTATCAAAGCTAAACCCCCACGTGTTTAGAGTTGCTTTTGATTAATCATTACTGAAACATTGATCGATATATTTGGATAGATTTTGTGTTTGACAAAATGTTTATTGCTTGTTTTATAATTGGTGAAATGTTCTATACAAATAAACTTGATTTCACTTAAACCATGTCAGCCGTTTCTCCAGAAAGATCATTGGTAAACCTGCTGATTAGGATGTTAACTGACCACAAATCCACACCATTTCTCTTTGTTGATGACATATTTTAAGTCATTTAACACTGAAAATGCTGCAATACAAGCAAGGCAGACTCTGCAGTCAGACTGGAAAAGAGGAAGAGTGTTGTTGGTCTCCATATAGCAGGTTAGCTGCTTATTAACCAGACTGGACTGGAGAAACTTTGCCTGGAGTAGCTGAATCTGTATCTATAGTAATATATTTACTGCACTGCGGGAACTAACAGGTTTCTAGAGTCAGATCAAACAGATACATTTGGACCCAAACTATTCAGATTTACACTCCAAAAACACAAAACATTACAAGTTAATTTCGGCTTAGTTCTTAGTTCAACATCTTAGTTCCCCTAGAAATAAGATAAAGCCAACTTAAAAGTAACTTTTCAACAAGAAATATGAGCTTGTTTTAAGCCAACAACGTCTTAATAGTGATGAAAAATATTATTATTTCACTTACAACAAAACATTTTTCCCATCTGCCAATAAAATTAGAAATTTTTCATCAATATTAATGTAAAACAAGCACCTATATTTTGCTGAAAGTTACTGTTAAGTTTGTTTTGTCTTATTTCAATTGTATTAAGATATTTGCACTAGAAATAGAACAAAAATAGTTGGTGATATTTTGTGCTTTTGAAGTTTGATTGAAAGTAATCCTTTAATTTAATGTTTCTGACTGGACGTAATATTAAAGCTTTAAATACGATTGAAACTGTCATTTAAATCTGATGGAGAATCTGTGGGTGCTTATAGATTAGGGTGATGGCAAGAAGGCATTCCTTTTTCAAACATTTGGTGTTCAACTCAAGAGATGAACAAAAAAATAAACTTTTTATAGCTAAAAAAGGTTTTAGCACCAATTATAGAGAAGACTGTAAGTATTTTTGTTTTAGCTGAAATGTAAAAACAAATGATTTGTCTTCCAAACCAGACATTACATAATCTTCATGGTTTTACCATCTTACATTTCCTAAATGTCTGGTGACTTTTTTCCTGCACTCCCACTTCCACGGCTTTTGCCCATTATGTGAACCATTGTTTTCCATACTGGAGCTCCTGCATACAAACATCTGCTTTGTATTTTTTATTGAGAGCAGCTTCATGACAGGTCTGACATTTGCATAGATGACTAGTCTGCGCTGCGAACACACTGCAAATAATGGAATATATTTGCTTTGAAGTGGGAGAGGAAAGTTCACATCATACAAACAGACACTATTTGTTGTGCCTTTGGCTCACTGATGGTTATGCAAAGGATAAAAAAAATAAACATTCATAGTCGCAGGGCCTTTTCCAAAGGTTATGTTTAACTCTGACATATACAGCAAGTTGATAACATTTATAATTTGTTAAATGTATTCAGATATTTAGTTTCCTATGAAACAAGCAGATCTGAGATGAAGTGTCATCAATTTCTTATTTTTGTTGGATAAAAATGTTCAGAAATTAGTAAATGTGTTTGGCACTAAATAATAATTCAGACAAACAATATTTATGGAAAATTTACAGAAATTGTTATTAAAAAAGGCTGTAAATGATCATGTCAGTTTAAAAAAAGAAAACATAACATAGGTTTCATTGTGTTTTCCTAAAATGTGCTGCAAACATTTAGTTTTGATTTTTTTAGGTAAAATTATGATTAAACTCTTTGAATTCAGTTTTACCATAGAAATAGATAAAAGTCGGTTCATAGAAATTGCTGTTTTCCTGCAAATAAAGCTATTTTTCACTGTCTTGAATTACAATTCAAAAGCAAAATAAAGTTGACAGTTTGTAACTTTGTTATAAACCAGATTTGTGTTTTTTTCTAATATATATATACACACAGGACAACTACAACATATATTCTATGTAATCACAGAAGCTAAATGAAATTGCCACATGGGCTGCATGTACCTCAGCATATTATGAGCCATAAATGTTCATAAAACTTGAAGTAGAGTTGTGTTGATTTTTATGAGTTAGGAAATGCCTTCAGGTAAACAGTTTCCCTCCTGAACTTGATCAAATATGTACAGTCAGAACTAAAAGAAGCATTACATAATGCTAAAAATGTTAAAATAATGCAAAAAACAAGGCTGAGTTTAGACAAAAGTTCATCTTTCTGCTCCACACAGAGCAGCTGGATAAAACCTCTAACTGCAGCAAAGAGCGACATTTGGCATCATTATATTCCCATATGAACTTAGTTTACAGCTTTTGCACAATTACTCAGTTTTTGACAAATTAAAAAGTTGATCCTGTATTTCCTATTGAAATTCAGGCTCTCAACAAGGGCTGAAATGATTAATCAATTAATCCTGATTAATTGATTATTGGAAATAATCATCAGCTAATTTAGTGATTGAGTCATCGTCAATGACTCAAAAATGCCACTTGCTGAAAGAACAACACACTGAAAGCACTAATTAATATATAAATACACACAGAACTCCTCAAGTTTAAGTTTTACCTTCACTCGGTTCAAATTCTGTAAAATAATCTCCTATAAAATTCCTTTTCCGATTCAATCATTAATATAATGTTCTTATTATAATATTAGCCACACACTATTTAAGTTAAAGGCCTGAGCTTTTCACATGCTGATGTTATAATTAATGATGCATTCTTTGCTACAAATGATTAATTGTTCACTAAAAGCTGTTGGTACATTCAAGGGACTGAAATGCTTGTTTTCTTACTTAAACAAATTGAATTATTAGTGCGTTTGCATCTTTTAATGTTTTATGTTTTACTAATATTGTATAAAAAGGTGCAAGAGGTGAAATGAAAATCCTGGAGAATGTGGCAAATTTTTAAATGTGAATAATCGATTACTCGTCAGAATGATCAATTACTAAAATAATTTAAGAGCAGCCAAACTTACAGCCTGTGAGAGGAAAATCTGATCACATTAAAAGGAGACCTGAACCTGTTTTAGAAGCAGTTTAGCAATAAATTACAAAACCAACCACAAGCACATAAATTATGAACGACTACTTGGGTATCCGTTACGATAAGTAGAGAAAACTAATAATCTTTTAACCAGAAAATGTTTTTTCCTGGTTGAAACTGGTTTTTGTTTACGTCACACCAGCCCATGTAATTTTAGTTTTCTCCTGAAGTGCCTTGAGGTGACATTTATATGACTAAATTGAACTGAACTGAATTATTACAACACGACACAGGAAAGAATTAACTGCAGGTTCCATGATAAAAATGAAAGACAAAGTCTGAATTACTCCCAGCTCATTCAGTTAAAAGTGAGTCACAGGCAATGATGCAACGCAAACCTTTAAATGACATCCTGACAAAGAAAAATACAGGATTAAATAGTCCTGTCAAGAATCACCTGTCACTAAAGTAAGAATCAGTTTATTTCAGGCGTGTCCAAAGAAACCAAAACAACCTAAAAGTAGCAAAATAAGGTAGTCTAATTTTTTCAAAATGGATATTTATTGTAGTTCCAAAACCTTTTTAGGGATTTTTATGATTGTGTGTTAAGGCATTGTAGATAAAAAAATAACAAAAGAAGCAAAGCTCCACCAAAGAACTAAATAAATAAATGAATGTTCTAGAAAAACATTTTTTTAATTTTTCTGAGTTTCAAAAGTGAATTTTTTCAGCATTTGAAACTCAGAATTTAAAAATTTTTGTAGAAAATTTCCGGGATTAATTTCAGTTTCTTTGGTGGAAATTTGCTACTCTTTTTATTTTTTTAATCTACAATGGCCCTAATATGCTGCCGTAGATTTTGCACATTTGCTGTATTAAAAGAAAAGCATCTAGTTTTCAGTTTCTTTTGAAGTTGATTGAACACATTTATTTTCAGTAGTAAGAACAGGATTTGGGTCACTTTCTTTCAAAATTTAGCCAAGTTCAATAAAAAAAAAAAGCTGATTTGGGTGCAAAAGTCTCTGCTTTTGCTAAAGCTCAGTTTGAAAAAGATAAACACTTTGTGTTGTACTTTTTTGGTAAGAAAATTACAAATTAAAAGTCTCCATCTGCATCAGTGGGCCAGATTTGGATCATTTTTGAATTGCACTTTGGACTTTTACTTTTATTAAATGACTTTAAGACATTTTAAGGCCTTAATTTTAGATGCATTAATTTCAGCCTGCAGATGTTTCCTGTATTTTGAAGGAAAAAGAAATGCTGAGTTCTTCAGCACTTTGAGGGCTGACCTCTGCACTCTGTCTCTGCATTTTGTTGACAGAGCAGCACGCCGGCTCCTCTTCCCGTTCTGACTCGCGCTCTCGCTTTCCGGTGATGCCGCTGCCCCTGGTGTGCAGCAGGAGGCCTGAAAGTCGCCGAGGGCAAGCAGAGAAACGGACATGAGAGGAATGAACTGGAGTAAACCGAGACAGGAGTTTCAGCAGCTCCAGGTTTCAAATTGTTTCATCAGCTGGTCAGTGAGTCATTAGGTTCTTTTACTGACCCACTCATTCAAATTTGGCGTGTTGAAGCATGAACACACAGAAAACATGCAAGGAACAAGCTGCTACTGTAAATGTGTTGCCCCCTGGTGGCAGAGATGAGTACTTACATTGGAATAATAATGTATTTTTCTTCTTATCTTTGGTTTTACATGAATGGTACCTGCTCACAGTTCTCACCTGGGTGTTGAGGCACAGCAAACTCGTGATAGAGTCGACTGCTGGTGATGTTCTGGCTGGCGTCTGGCACTGAGTGGTATCCTGCTGGAGACACAACACAGTTTGTGCTTAATTCACAATGAAGTTGATTAATTTTGATGTATAAATTCAGAAATAATCTAGATTAGGAGATAAAAGTAATAAAATGCATCAAAGTGCAGAATTATGTAATGAAAAGACATTTTTCCCTCAAATGTGGCTTCTGCACAAATTAACAGAAAAACCCAACAAATCTGTCAGGAGGAAAATATCTGTTATTTATCTATATAGATAACAGATATTCTTGAAAAGGTTTGGACCTGAAACTTTTAAACACTTTATGATTCAATTTCAGCATCCTTTCTTCCTTGCTAGAAGTAGAGCTGCACCGATCCGATATCAATATCTGAATCGGTCCCGATACTGAAATAAATTCTAGATTGTGATAATCCCTAAGGGCAGATCTATTCAGTCTAATTCTATGCTTTGTTATTATTTATTATTAATTTGCTGAATTTGGCCAGGCATTTCCTGAAAAACAGTTTTGACCTCAGTGAGACACGTCTGGTTAAACAAAGGCTGCACAGAAACAATTTCACTTTCCGAACCATTTTAAGGAAAGTTTGTTGCAGTTTGTACTTTACGTGTTTACAGCCTTTTGTTTCAGCGTCTTTATCATTTATTTTACATGGGCTGTTTTACTCCTAAATGCACTGAACATGTTAAAGTTGTTTCTACATGTTTGACCTTGTGAAGCTGTTGGTGTGTTTAAATGTTCTGCACTGCTGCAGTTTTCAAATTTATAATTTACTGTCTGTGTTTAAAAACAGAAACTTTTTAACTCACTTCAGCTGTTTTTCAGTTTCGGCCGATACTAAAAGTGGATTAGTGCGTTTCTACCTCCCAGATCTTGATTTGTAGAATATCTGATCCAGTATACTTCAGTTATTTAGATCCACCAGACTGTAGGTTTCTCTGAATTTTCCTCTGGTGAAATCTCGTTTTGATGATTTGGACTCACATCAATGCTGATGAATATAATCCCCTCCTTATCTTTAAGGAGGGTGGCATAATGCTGCCACCTCCATGCCTCACAGTGGGTTTTGTGTAGCATTACTTTTGTACCAGACAAACCTTCTGCCAAAATGTTTGTTTTTTATCAGAATTCAACACATTTTTTCTGTTGTGTTTTGGGAAATTTTCAGCAAGCCGTCATATTTTCTGCCACCTTTAGTCCTTCATTCAGACAAATACAGGCTAAACTGTGATATTTAACAGGAAACATTCATGTCAGAAGTGTTCTTACCATGTTGCTGCTGATGTTGGTTCTGTGGCAGTGTGTGAAGTCGCTGCTGTTGCTGCTGTCCAACGCTGCTGGGCCCCGTCTGTTCTTCATTGTCAAAGTTAAATAAAATGCTCCCGCTGCCGTTCCCTGTGGCCACCGAGCTTCCTGACACTCCAGGCACTAAAATAAGAGAAAATGTCTTCAGACGGATCCTAATCAGTGATAAAAACTCTGCACAAGTTATATTTTGTTCCTTGATCTCTTACAATGTGAGTTGTTGTTGTTGGTCCCTGACTGCTGCTCTCCAGGAGAGTAGGCCATCATTCCTCCGTTTCCGTTCCCGTTTGTGGACGGGACAGAAGCTAACAGACCTGGACAACAGAAACACACACTCCTGATCATCTGGAATATTTAAGAAATATTTTAAAAGCTTTGTTTTTTTGCAGAATATCTGTGTGTGTTCAATTATTGGGCAACTATTAATGTGTGAAAATTATAACACAATTACATAAAAAACAAAAATATTCCCATGTTTGCCCTTTTTATATTAAACAGAGATGAACTAACATATCAAAATTTACAAATAAGCATTTCTGGAGATATCGGATCCACACATTTCTCCATATACCAGAACCTCGTGTTATTTGTTGTGGGTGATCATTTTTGTACTATGGCTATATGTAATGGTTAGCGTTAGCGCCCGCTAATTATTTTTATATGTGTTTAATATTAGATTCTTGTTGCATCTTAAAAAATCTAAAAATGATCAGTAAATATAATTTGTATGGGTTTATTTAAGACAATTAGACACTACAAGGATTCCTCTGTGGTAAACATTGGCACTTTTAATGCAAAAATAAATGTTCCTCTGCAACCACGACGGCGGCCATCTTTAATTTTTCAGGGGTTTTCCCCCCAGATTTGTACCAAATTAAGTTCTTGTATCCGCATGTGAAGGATATTGTACGATTTGCTGTGTGTGATACTTTAAAATGGCTGTACATAATGGTTAGCGTTAGCTTCTGCTAACTTTTTTAGCAGAGCTAATAGTCTTGTTGCTTTTTGGCTAGCTGTGCCCATCACAGTTAGCCAAAAAACAACTGCCAGCTAATTTTAGAGCAAACATATATTCTCCATTACAAACATGGTGGCCATTTTGAAAAATGTCTACCAAAAAAAAAAAACAAGATCAAGAAAAAAAAAAAAAGTGGTTCAAAATATGTAGGATTTGACACCAAACACATTCATAGATGGTGATTTTAGTTCTAAAATTGATTTTACATGACAACCATTTGAAAATGATCAATCAGTAAATAGGTTGAATTAAGTGATACGTTACTAAAAGTGTTAAGTTGCAATAAATGTGGCCGCCATCTTGAATTTTTCAGGGCTTTTTCCCCTCCCAAAAATTCTGTACAAATCTAGGTTCTTGTATCTGCATGTGAAATATATTGTGCTATTTGTTGTGTGTGATACTTTTTTGATGCATTTTTTACGATGACAGCAACGCTTTGACTTCATTTCCTCACCCAGGCCTCTGTATCGGCTCAGCTGCTGGTAGAGCTGCTTCATCCTCTCGATGTTGAGCCGGCTGGCCTCCGCGTGGTGCACCATGGGTTTCGGGTAATGGACTCCGATGATGCACTTGGCTGCCGCCTGAACGGACTCGGGGGCGTTCCAGGGGTCGTAGATGAACTTGGCGGGGAAACCTCGGAGGACAGGTAAGTATCGCCTGGAAGCACAAGACGACATTAGATGCTCTTGCTTTTGCCAAATGGGAATTATCTTACTTAATAGTTAACACAAATGTGTTTTAATTTAAGTTTTATAGCTGTAAATATGTATGAATACAGTTTTCTACTCATCAGTGTTAAGAAAATGTGTGTTTTATGTTGCCGCCCATCATTGTGTCTAATTAATGGGAGCAGGCTGGCCATCATGCTTACAGGCTCTATGGAAAATAGCTGCTGCAAAATGAGAGGTACAACCACAACACTGCACAGTAATGCTACGGTACGAGAGCTCAAGCAGGAAATCTTTTTCTTCCATTCTGAAACTCATTTTTGAGCATTTCTGGCACTGCAGTGAGACACGATGACAGTGCAGAGTGAGAACTAAAGCTCCAAACCTGAAAACGAGGGGCTGTGGTCCTGAGCACATTTACTGTAAGTTACCGTGGCAACAGCCACACCACTGACAATAGGAAAAATATAATCCTCCAAGAGATGAAACCAAAAAAATCAACTTCTCACAATAGCGTTGAGTCACTGAGCTGCCAGGAGTCGCTCAGTGTGACAAAGAGAGGCCACCTACCTACTGGACTCGGTCCAACCTTACCTATTCCCAGGAGGGGAGACTGACAGGACAGAAGGAGGGGGGGCGAGTGTGCAGAGAGGGGTGGGGGCTGGTGTGGTCCGGCCCAGTGGGCCGACACGCACGCACGTGACGGACGACGCTCCGCTCGCTACGGAGATCGCACCATCACTCGAGAGAGAGAGAGACCACTGCCGATTGAGTAGAAGATGCTAGGAGACGTCTACTGTAACACGCGGTTAGAAAGCAGAGAGCATTGACCCCACCCACCCGCCGCCCTCCCCCCACCCCGACCGGAGCAGGTGTATGCTGGGAAAATTCTGCCAACAAAAAAAAAAAAAAAAGGTAAGAAAAGAAAACTGTTTTCTCGCTGAAAATAAAAGTTTAATAAAACTTTGGCGTTTAAACTCAGATCTATCCATCTGCCGTGTCTACATGTTTCTGAGGAATGTGCTTTAGAGGTGCACTGATTGCAGTTTTCTGGCCGATCGCCGATTACCAATCACTTAAAAAGCCTCATACCAAATATTTTTTGTCTGAAGTGGCGATAAATGTAGCAAGAAAAATCGCTGAGTTGGTAACAGTGGGTGACTATTGTTAACTGCAAACGTGCGGATGTCACCTGGTGGGCGGGGCTAACAGTAAAACCTCTCTAACAGGAGAGAAGAAGAAGACAGCAGCTGATCTTCAGACCTTTGCTGATCGGCTTCACATGTAAGTAAGTATCGGCCCATCACCGATCTCCCAAAATTGAGGAAATCGGCTCCGATGAATCGGCTGGCCGATAAAATCGGTGCACCCCTAATATTCTTTTTTATAAAGCATCTAAAGCTCTGCCTGTCGTCAGAGGAAATATGCTCCAAACTCGATGACAGAAGTTTCCCATTATACCTCGCAGCTCCAGGCCCCCGCCCTCCCTCCCTCCAACCTTCATCCCTCATGATCAGACAGTGGTGGACTGAGAAAAGAGCTCACACATGCTCCCCATCCCCAGACTGTGGTGGTTAACTTTTAAGTGGTCAGCAGGCCCATAGCCCCCCTGCTGACTGTCTCCTCCCCACGGCCACAGCGCCACACTCTGGGCCGGCCCACTAGGGAGCCCCCTCATTTCACCAAAAAGGACCACAACCCTTTTGCCAGGAAGATCCGCGACCTGCTAGTAGCGAGCGGTCCTGGAAGGGAACAGCGGGTGGCGTTGGGGGCGGAGCCTACACCTGTGGTACAAAGATTTACTCCTACTGTTTCAGCTCAAATACGTTTTGTATCCAACACTTAGCTTAAGCTTTTAAGAGAAACACAATGGCTGTAGGGTAGTAACTACCTACATTTACATGAGTAACTTAAAAAAATACTTTTAGGAGTATTTTTGCTACGCTGTACTTCTACAGTGATTTTATTGTACTTGAGTAAAATTTCTCTTTTTTTTTTTTTACCACTGAATGAAAAACATGTTTTAACCAAAAACTCACAAATAACTGACACACACCTGCAGTATTTGTTAAAGTTTCATAAGTTTTTTATTGAAAGAAACTGATTTGGAAACATTTTCTTTTGCCTGATTTTTTTTGTTAAGTATGTGAATTATTGTCATTTCCAGCATTAAATCACCAAAATTTCAACTTAACTTTACATTTTGGTCCACCTGATTATGTAGTTTTTAAATATTAAATGATTGAGTAATTTGTTGGCTACTTTTTACTTTTACTTTCGTAACAATACGTTGAAGTAGTTTTACTCTGCACATGTGCCAATAGCTAATTGTTTGTTTAGCACTTTAGCATTTTTGCAAACTTTGAAAACTTTCAGCACACCTAGCATCTCCTAATTTTCAGGCAGTTAATTTTTGTTTTCCTTGTGTTTTTAGGATATGACTGAATTAGCCATGATACAAAAAAGAAACATTTATATGTAATAATAATAAGAATGTAACGACTATCTCATGTTCAACCTATTTAAGTTATTATTTAAAGGGCTTAATGTTTGTTTTTCTTGTGATTTTGGGTATAAATGAGGAATTTTCTGCATGTATTGCATTAAAAACAATTCCAGTACTTGAAATATGATTAATTTTTACATCATTTGGGGCGGTACCACGGTGTGAACTAGCTAACCCATGTCTGTTTTTCAGCGTAAAGCCAGCCGCTGCTCCAGGCCCACCGGAACCAACAAGGCTGCATTCACCTACGCAGAGCACCACTGAACATTTCACAAAGGGCCGGACGAGGGGCTTTGCCCAGCGCCTGGACAACGGACCGGCTCGCGTGGCACCGCGCGGGTAACGAGTACCAGCGCCACCCGTGCAACACTGCGATGGCAGAGCTACAGCTGGTCCAACGCCTCTCCTCGCTACCTTCCGGGAAATGCTTCACAGAGCTCTACCTAACGAACGCAGGCAAGGCGTTTGCATTTCCCTACCAAGCGGTCAGGGTCCCTTTTGACGAAATGAGACGCTACCGAGTCACAAACCTGCCCAGAGGGCGCCGCTGGGGCGTGAGCAAGTCCCGTCCCTCAGGGTTGCACAGGTAGAATCAGAACAAAACGGCCACCGATTTCTCAGCTGGATTTCCAACTTCTACCCCGGGCGGTCTGGAGCCGGGCGGCCCAGACTGCGCCTGGGTGGAAGGAGGGGGCTGGAGAACGGCCAATCAACTTAAAAGCAATCAGCTACAATCTACACAGGGGAGAGGGACAGCTGAACTTTTCCCCCAACCCCCCCCATAAAAAAACAGATGAGCCAAAAACACAAACACAGAGCTACATCCATTAAAAAGAGAGGAAATAATCTACGTCTCTGTAGTGAGTCGTCTGCTAGCAACAGGCATAAACCTACTGATGTATGCGTGTTCACAATCACCAACATTCACAAACAATTAAAAATTACACTGAGAGAACTGAGGTTGTTAGAAAAGACATGCCTGACATCCCAGAGACTACAGTACTGAAGTTGGAACAGACGGAAAGATGGAATGATGGCAAAACAAGAAAACAGCAAAAAGTTTAAGGAGTCTTATTCTATCTCATCACTTACCCAGAGATCTGGAGGCCCCGCATTTACCCCCCATCTCTCTCTCTTGTTATCTGCTTTAGTTTGGCCTGTGCAGCTGAATGGTTGCCTGATCTGAGCCTCATTTTATAAACTAAAGATAAAAGAGCAAGTCTAGAAAACTTTCCAAACATTTTGAGAAATAAATCTATTAATATGAGCTACTTCCTGGATCAGGTTTAAGGTCCTTTCAGTAACCTAATAATATCTGGTGTATGGAGAGAGAGGGACGGAGGGAAGGAGGGCAGCATCCATGCGGTTGGAATCGGTTGTTGGCACCAATGGGCGATGACAGGAAAGGTACCCACCTGATGAAGTCCCCGTTGGGGTCGGTGCGCCGGCCGAAGCCCACGGGGCAGTAGCAGTGGAAAAACTGCTGAAAGAATGAACTGCAGGACAGCCACATCCAGCTGCCTGCGTTCACACTCCAGTCTGCGTCCAGAAGCAGCTCCTCGAAAACCTGAAGCAGCAAAATGTTTTATTATCGTTTCTGAGTTTATCTCAGGAACTACAAGGTTTATTTGAATGGTTCTGGTATCAAGATAAAGAAAGCACTCCAGAGAATACTCTAAAAATATAAAAATCCACACATCTGGCTGAGAGACAACGTAAATGTGGCATACGGTGAAAAGTGGGGGGTGCCTAAAGACAAATTTCATGCAAAAACAATGAAGCGTAAAAGTTTTGGTGAGGGAAATTATTTAAATGCTTAGCAACATTTCAGACAAAAAAATGTATCTCTTTCTAAATCGGAATCGGCACATCAGGTTTTTGAAAGATTGTAATCGGCCAGTAAACTGCAATCAGTGCACCTCTATCTGTTATGTTGATATGAAATATTCATGTAGTATTTCATATGTCTGGATTTATTTCTTCTCCTGGTACTTTGGGTTCCAGGAGTTAAGGTCAATGTTTATGTTAAGGGCTGAAGCTCTTCCTTCTGGATCAAAATAGTTCAGTGAAAACGGAGTTGGCGTTTTGCTCACCTTCATGCCTTCCTCCCAGCTGATCCACAGGTCTCCTCTGGTGAGGAAGCAGGCCACGGCGTGCCGGGCCAGGTGATGGATCCAGCCCTCCTGCCTCAGCTGTGTCATGATGGCGTCTATCCAGGGGAAGCCGGTCTTGGCCTCGGCCCACTTGGCGAGCGCCTCGGGGTTCTTGTCCCACGGGATGCGGACGCAGATGGGGTTTCCCTCCATCTTGTCGAAGCGCGGGTTGTTGGTAGCCGCGGTGTAGAAGAACTCGCGCCACAGCAGCTGTCCGTACAGCGAGAGCGGAGGAGAGCTGTTCTTTTTTACCTGGAGCCGTTTAAACACAGAGGTGGAGGAAAACAGGTCATTAATGCCACTTTGTTTCCTGCAGCTTAACGTTGATTTTAGGTCCATTTAAAGCAGCTCAGAACAATTTGGGGTGGCCATTGATTACTGTTGATAGTGATACACATTTAAAAATAAGGAAATGTTCCCTAATTTAATTTAATTTGATTTATTAGTAATATGGATCGAAAACATTCAGTGGCTCGAACTAAAATTCACACAAGGGCCGTTTAATAAACTTGGCAAAATAAAGCAAGAGTGAGAAAATCTTGTTCTTGTTCCAAAGAAAACAAAACAAAATTCACGCAAAAATCAAGAAATTTCTTTGATTTTCTTTAGCACTAAAGCATCATCAGCCTTTAAAATAGTAAAAAAAAAAAAAGCGTTTAAGTGATTCTAACTCCCACCTGCAGGTGGCAGTATTTCTTATTGCTGCCTTATCCTTAATTTAAATAAAGTTATAGTCTGTGATGTCACCACACGAACAAAAAGTGACATTTATTGTAATTTTTCCTCTTACTACACAGTATTTTTATTTATTTATTCTGTTTTTATAAATGTTGTATATTCAATTTTGCTGCTGTTGCGAAGAAATTTCCCCACTGTGGGGCAATAAAGGCTTTTTCTATTCTATTCTGATTTTAAGAAAACTCCTTGCAAATATAAAATTACTTATTCTGAATGCAAAAACAATCGAGAAACCCTGGAGGGACTGATCAATTTGAAAAGATGTTATTTAATTTAAAGACGAACTGCTTGTTAGTATTCTAACAGTTTGTTGGTGGGTTTTATCGATGTATTTAGGATAAATCGGTCGCTATGGAGCGTGCTGTGAGATGGGGGGCCGACCTTGCGGTAGAGGTCGGTGAGTTTGAAGTAGAAGAGGCGGCAGGAGAGGCAGCCGAAGCGCAGGTAGGGGCTGAGGCCGGTGGGGCTGGCCAGCAGCGAGTTGGCGTTCATCCGGGGACGCTCGAAGTTCGCCACCCACGCCTGGCCACAGAGACGAGATGAACAGAAATTAAGATGTTTGGTCAACACCTGACAGAATCTCTTAAAAGATTGTTTCTAAAGTTGAAAAATGTCTGTTTACTGTTTGATTAAATCCATGAAAACTCTTAACGTGAGCAGATAAAGCAGGTGTGACGGTTATTCCTACAACAATGTATTACAGCCATTGCAGAGAGACAAATGGAGTACATTCTCAGTAATGTTGAGACTAATCTCAGAAACTTTCAAGAGGAAATTTCTGAGTTTGAAAAGTAGAAAAATTGAGAAAAAAAAAATGAAATTTTTCACATTAATCTAAAAATCTCAAAGTTTTTTTATCACAAATTTTTGGGTGGAAATTTACACCATTGTATATGCCTGATAGCTTATTGTTATGACTATGAAATAAAAAACGTTGAACCTTTTCATGAGTAAAAAATACCTCGCAATGCTGAAAAAACCCAAAACAAAAATGCAAAGGAAATAAAAAAACAGGACAAAACCAATACAGAAATAGAAAAGTAGTAGAAATGATTCTTTGAAGAAAAGTTTACTGTTAGAAACCAATTTATATATTTAACAGGAAGTGTTTTCATCTTGTTCAAATTTAAGCTAAATAAATAAAGGATAATTAATCATAAAGGCTCTGTAATCCTAACATGAGGGTGTAATACTGACTTTTCTCTCCAGATGGCGCTCTATCCTAGTCAGAGCTTCAGTCTCTCCTCCAGGCCACACAGCTGAAGGGAGGCCCTCGGTGTCGAAACCTGAAAAATATCCATTTACATTGCCTTTAAATCCAGCATTCAAAGGTCAGAAAACATTTTTGTTTCGTTAAATAAACAAAACTACATTAAATTAAACACAATTGATCATTTAAATGACAGTTTTAGCTTTTTGAAGACTGTATTTTGTGTGGTTTGGTATTTAAACTGGATCCATTCGAAAACAAAATGAGTTTTACTCCCTGATCTCAGGATGTCTGGAGACCAAAACGCTTAAAGAGTCGGACAAAAACAGAAAACTGTTGTGTGAAAAAAGATAAAGGAAGTTATTTAAATATAAATCAATGTAAAACAAACCTTAAACTGAGGAAAAATCAGATTTTAGTCCAGCTCAGAACACAAACATTTCCCCACAATAAAATTCCTATTTTTCTAACTTTTATTAAAATTGATGGATAAATTCTGTACAAAACACTGAACTACGTCACTATGAATAAAAAAACTGACATAACTGACGTCTTCTTTCTGTTAAAGCATCTGGGCGTAGCAGGGCTTGGTCATTTATTGCTGCAACATTACACTCCTAAATGAATCATCTACAGAACAAACAGAGTTTAGAGCTACATTCTGGGTTAGAAATAAACCCTAAACGGTTCTGAGCAGCAGAGGGCGCCGTTTCCCACGCAGCGCAGCTGCAGCCAGCAGAGGGCGCCGTTTCCCACGCAGCGCAGCTGCAGCTAGCAGAGGGCGCCGTTTCCCACGCAGCGCAGCTGCAGCCAGCAGATGGTGCCAGGATCCTGGCACTCTGAACGGAAAACTTAACGTCTGGACGGAGTGGGGATAAGCAGGCTAAACGTGGCCTCTGGCTGATTTCAGGGATAAATCACAGCCTGTGAGGTTGAAACCTGCACAGAGACACAGTCCAGTTGAAGCTTAAGTGGCTGGTGGATCTGTGAAAGAGTCGGGTTGAGCAGGCGTAAACTGCTCAACCCGAGCAGATGGCTGCAGGCTGGCTAAATATATGAATGAACTGAAGGTCTGCGAATGGAAAGCAGGCATCTGGAAGGTTCCTGTAAGCAGCTGAGACTAAATAATCCAATAGGAAAAGACTTTAAATAGAGAAACGGGACTGAATGCGCTTAATGCTTGTATTAAGGAGAGACGTTTTGTTGTTATTGCTCCCAGTTTTTCCTTTTCAATGTTTAGTAAATAAATATATACAACACCAGAGAACCAGCGGTGTTCAAACTTTATGGCCAAAATCATCAAATTATGTAAAAAAAAAAGTCTGATAGTACAACAAAATTGCATTAAAAGAAAGAAATGAGGTTTGCAAGTTCTTTCGGGCTCAGATGAAAAAAATAAAAACATGCTGTTGATTCTCAGCAGTAAGAACCAGATTTGGGTCACTGTCTCTTTAAAACTGCTTTCCGTTTCAAGCTAAATTTAATCAATAAAAGCAGATTTGGGTTTCCTGAAATATTTCTCAGTAGAAGTCAGTGAATAAATGTGATTCCTTTCATGGAATTAAAAATGAATGAGGAGAATGAAATATGTTGATCGTTTGTTTCCTCACCCAGCTCCTCCAGCGACGGGACGCCGTACTTTTCGCCGTGGTCCTCGGCGACGGGCGTGACGCAGCCGCCCATCAGCGCGTCCGACAGCGTCTCCACCGGCATCTCGGGCGGGTCCAGCCGGCTTATCAGCGTCTGGAAACGCTTGTAGGTGAGAGGAGGCTGACCGCCGTTCAGCTCGATGATCCTTCAGACGGAGAAACGAAGAAAAACAAGGATGAACTGATTTAGTGCCAGCTATGGCACAGAAGTTATAAAACCTGCTTTAAAAAGTTCTGTTCACATATTCGACTTTATTTATGCAAAAATACAGTGATTTTATTGCATTTAAGTAACAAAAATAAATGTTTTTTTTATCCCCTAATTAAAAGAAATCAACAGGAATGTGTCCCCCGACTCCTCACTGTCAGCTGGGACATATCTGAGGGGCTTCTTGCCTGTTCAGAAAGTTTCAAGTCGTTCCATGGCATCGACATCTGGGATTTGACTAGGCCAAGGATTTTCTGTTTTTATTTGGATCTTGTTGGATTTTTTTCAGGATGTTTTTGATTATTTTCATGTTGCAGAGCAAAGATCTGGTTCAAACTAAGTTTATTTAAGAGATTATTTCACATCTTTCACACAACCTGATTCATGGGTGTCCATAGAATGACTCATTTCAAAATCTAAGAAAATTTGGACTTAGAAATATTTTTATGATATTTGAGATCATTTAAAATATTTTAATCCCCTCTTAAATAGGATTAAAATATGTGCAATTTCTGCACCACAATTTGAGTTTATTGTATTTAACAGGACATTTTAATTTTGTTTATATTGTTTGACATTTTCCACTGTTGTTAAACTCAATATTAAATCTTCATATGTTTAAAAAAAATTAACACAGGCCGTCATCAGATGTCCTATTTTTTTTAATATGACAAAATTTATACACTTGATATTTAGCCACATTAGTGTTTTATTACAGATGTATAAATAACCTGAGGTTGAGGTTTTATTAGAAAAATGACTCATTTCCTCACTTGTCCAGGTCGTAGAGTGTGTGTGATATCTTGACGTTGACCTCCACCCCCGCCTCCATGGCCAGCTTCTTGATGGCGGCGTCCCGCTCCTTCCCGAACGGCTCCGAGTCGTACTCAAAGGTCAGCCGGGAAATCTTCCACTCCTGAGGTCACAAGTTACACAAAATCATGTCAATAAACTCTGTGTGTGTGTGTGTGTGTGTGTTAGCAGAAACAAAACCAGAACAAACTGTGAGTCTACATGCAAGAATGTGTTAGAGCAGGGTGTCCAAACTGCGGCCCGTGGGCCATTAATGGCCCTTGGACTGGTCTAAATTTGGCCCGCTGATGCAGATGTAGAGTTTTAATATCTAATTTTCTTACAGTATGAAATGTAAAGTACAACACTAAGGGTTTGTCTTTTTATAACTGAGCTAAAATCACGATAAAATCGTGTTTATGAAACACCCAAATCAGCTTCTATTTATTTACTAAATAAATTAAAACACATCCTTTTTCTAATTACTGAAAATAAATTTGTTCAATCGTGCCCAAAAGAAATAATTTTGCACATTTGCGCAAAAAACTTGGAAATTTATGAGTTTCAAAAATTTTAAATATTCGACTTTTGAAATTCAGAAAAATTCCCAAAATAGAAAATTTGACATTTTTTTTCTAGAAAACCTCTTTGCTTAATTTCAGTTTCTGAGTTTCTTTGGTAAAAATAATTTCTTTTACTGTAATTTTACATCTACATTGGCCTAAGCATGCAAGCATAAATATTTCTCAAAATAACCAGTTTAGAGAAAAAAAAATAAATTGGGATATTTTATTTGGCTGATTTGAGTTTTCTTTTTTGACCTGCAACTAATTTTGACTCAACCATTTTGTCCGATGTGACAATACGTTTGTTTCCCTGTGTTGGCGTTAGAGAAGAAGCGACGTTTGCGTCTCTGTGCCGACCTTGAAGAGGCGCGGGAAAACGTTTGCTGGTTGGCCCCGGATGACAAAAAGGCGGGAGTTGAGTTTTCGGAGACTTGCGTCCAAATCCTCCAAACATTGGAGCAGAAACCTGGAGAGGAAAAACATTTCATTAACAACAGGAAGAATGATGTAAACCTGAGTGAAACATTTAAGTCCCAACTAATAATAAAATTAATAAGAACTATTTATGAGGTTTTTTAAGTAACTGCAATCAGAGCCTCTTAAAGCCAAAACTGCAAAAACACAAAATCTTACCAAGTAATTTTGTTAATATACTTGAAATAAGACAAAGTAATTTAAAACTAACTTTTCAGCAAGATATAGAGGTTTGTTTTAAGCAAAAAATTCCTTAATATTGATGAAAAAGTACTATTCAATTGGCAGATAAATTAACTTATAGGAAAAATGTCTTGTTATAAGTTAAATAATCTGGCAATAGAACAAGTGTTTATTAAATAAATATTAAAGGATTATTTGCTTTAATCAAGCCTCTATATCTTGCTGAAAAGCTACTTTTAAGTTAACAATAAAATAATCCCAAGAAAAAGGGCAGATTTGTTTTTTTAAAAGCATTAATTGGAATTTAGCATGAGCACAATAAGTCAAAATTCTTATGATAAAAAAAGTATCGCGATAAATGATAGACGATACGATAAAGGCTGACTCATAATTAGACACTTTTACAGCAGAGTTTCTGCTCATATCGGTTAAGTTTCTAAAATCAGCAAAATAACTCAGATTAGACAAAAAGAAGGAAGAAAACCATCAATGTTGAAACAAAATTACAGCCTTTTCAGTCCAACATGTTCATTTAGTCATTTCTTTGATTCAGTTGCATTTACAGCGAGTGATTATAATCAACTGCTTTAAATCATATTTTAAACATTTACTGTACAAACACCCCCAGCTCTCGTTTGATAAATTCAGTTGCTGCTTTGACTCATTTTTTGCCCTGTGCAGCAAATATTTTGGGTTTGTTGACATAGTTACAGTAACTCTGGATCATTTGGACCCTAAAATGCAGATTTAAAACAGACAAGTTAGCAGGAAGCCAACTGTGTTCATCATGTCAGACTTTTTCTGTAGGTCTTCTTTTTTGTAAACACATTTTTCCCCTTTTGTCGACTGTTGGACCAGATCACTTTAAAGGAGAAGAAGAAACTCCATCATTTTGATGCAAAGGATCAAGGAATAAGAAGTGAAATGAACCTTTGGAGAACTTAAATGTTAAAAGTAATTAAATGGGGGAAAAAAAAAGAAGTGACAGGAATTTAATAACAAAATAAAATACAAAACGGAGCTTCATCGTTAATCTCAGCTTCCAGTGTTCAGCATGTGCTGAAAGCACCAGAGTCTGGCTGTTCCTGCCTCTGATTGGCTGCTGAAGGCTGACTGTGAGGCGCGCGCCCAGCGGCCGCCGACGTCAGCTTCAGGTCAGGAACTGTGTGACAAGTCACGGACGCCACAAAGCGCCAGGAAGCAGCATCTAGAGCTGAGCGGAGCGACGGACGGCAACGTGAGCTGCAGCTCTGAAACCTGGAAAAAAAAAACGCTCTACCTGCAAAAATAGTTCACCGCTCTCCAACAGAGCACCAGAAAATAGCTGCTGCTGCTCGATGAAATTGTCTGAGTAAACTCGGAAATGCTGCACATGTTGGTTGGGTAAGAAGAAGCTTTATAGGTCACAGGTGTTTTTACAGATGTGGGATTTCTAAGAAGATAGAACTGCCTTGAATCTCAGTCAGGACTTTCTGTGAGGAGTTTTCTTCTAATCCAGCTGGTAAAACTATATTTGTCTCAATGCAAACTTCAATCTTATTCCTATATTAGAAATAAAACAAAATGACAACAGATTTATTTGATCAATCTGGGGACTGCTAAACAGTTCTAATTTTTTAAAAAATTGGTTCTTTTTATTGACATTTTTACCAAAGTTAAGTGTAAACATCACGGTAAATGTAAAACTGCTGGACTGCTCTACACCATAAGTATTATTCTGAATAAAGAAAAGCAACAATAACAGTATCTTAAGCACATTTTAACCAACAAAGTTTGTTGCTCTCTTTGACCTGTAACCTTTTAGTGGCTGAGATGCTAAAGTTCACTGAAAACAGTGGAAACGTTAAAATGTGACTCATTATTTTCCATTTTATAACCCTGTAAAATGTTCTTAATTTATCTCCAGCCACAAAAGAAAGACTTTTCTTTTACAACCTTTGCATTTAGCCAAATGTAATGGAGAGGTGTGGTAAAATCTGCTTTATAGCAAAAACCTGCTGGATGTTTGTGGCACGACTAATAACATGATGATAAGAAAAAGGCTATCAAAAGAAATATTTTTGTTTTGTACTTAACATTTTCCATTTAAGAAGATGTAAACTTTATATGTAAAATATCCTAAAAAAAACATTACAAAAAGTGTAGGATGGCCAAATTTATGACATTCTTGAATTGCAGTCCCACACAAAACCAATCCAAGGGCCACAAATGGCCCATGAGCCACAGCTTGGACACCCCTGCTGCACAGTAACATTAAAGGTAAAAGGAAGGATTTGTTTACAGTTTGCTGAATGGTAATAAAGGTTGTTAAAGTGATGGAAACCAACACCATATTTAATTTTCCTTAAAGTATTTCTGAGTTTGAACTGAAAGAGTTTTAGTTTTAAAAGGTGGATATTTCAGCTGATTATCAACTCATTTCATTGTGTGTAAACGTTGCTGCTCAGGATAGAGGAGCATCACATCAGTGAAAGACGCCACAGCCGTTCCCATCCTGCAGCGCCGCACGGTGACAGGGGTCATGGTTACTGGGACAGAGGATGAAGGTTTCAGGAATCTGACTGGGCCCAAAACATTTCTCTGTAGATTCACATCCTCTGCTCCAGTTTAAACTAAATTAAACACAAAATGCCGGCAGAGTCCAGAAGATCACAGAAAACTAAACCTTGAAAACTGCAAAAAAGCAAAATCTTACCAAGCATCTCTCATGTTCTTCTTTCTATGTTAGTGCACTTGAAATAAAACAAAACTAACTTTTAAGAGCTTGCTTTAAGTTAACAATATTGATGAAGTACTAGTTCCACTCTTTTTCTAAAAAAGTTGCTTTTTAGTTAGTTTAGTTTTATTTCAAGTGTACTAAGGTAGTTACACAAAAAACTAGACAAGAAATACTAGGTCTGCTTTTATTTTTACACTGAGTCTGAGTGGTTCTCCATCTCCACAGTCATTTTATACACAGAGGTGGGCAGAGTACCCAAACATTGTACTCACAAGTAGCAATACTTCAATATCTTTACTCAAGGAAAAGTAAAACGTGTAGTAAAAATACTCCTAACAGTACAATGTTTCAAGAAAGTTACTGAAGTACATTTAATTGAGTGAATGTAACTGGTTACTACCCAGCTCTGCTTGTAAACGATCCGAGGTTAAACCGGTTAGCCGTTTGGACCGACCTGCGTTCCAAACAGAGCCGGCAACTGCAGGGCGTTCAGCTAACTTCTGCAGCTTCTGTCCAAATCCTGGCTAATCACTGAACCCGAGCGGCCGCAGCTCTCAGCTAAAGCTCCGCTTGTTCCCAATCCTCACGCAGACAGAGCTGCGAGACAAAGTAGTGCACACAATAAGGCACGTGCCAGCCTGTTCATGAGCCGGACCCGGGGGCCGGCAGACAGCCTGTGTGCTCACCATTTAGGGCAGCAGACAAAGCTCTCAAAAATGGTCATTCAAGTCGAGAATCTACCCTAATAAAACTGATATTACATATTCATATACAAGAGCTTTAGGTTTTGTAATTTAGACGCAACAGTGATGTGAAAAAGTAAAACCTTGCTCTGACGCTAACCTAGAAACCTTTGCTTTTTAGGACAGGATACTCGCTGTCTGCATCAGTTGATTCAGAGCGATGACGCAAATGGGTTTATGGCTGCACCAAAGCAAACAAGCACACAAAGAACCTCAATACCAAACCCAACAAGAGTTTATAAATCACTGCAATACTTTAAAGATCTGCTGTTGTTGCATCAACCTTCCAGACCTCTCAGGTCTTCAAACATGGAGAAGCAGCATTCAGATTCTACGCACCACAAATCTGGAACAAACTTCCAGAAAACTGCAAAACAGCCGAAACCCTGAGTTCCTTTAAATCAAGACTAAAAAACATAACTCAGGTTTTACAAGTCTGAGTTTAAAAGCACACAATCAAATTAAACGTTGAACACTTTAAAAACAGAGCGTAATACTGTCTTTAGTCCAGGCTTAAAACCAGTGGCTGAATGTACCAGGAACAGGCAAACAAGAGGCTGAATGTGCTTCAGAGGAAAAGATGCCAGTAAAACAGTCATTTGCATGTTCAGTTTTTATGACAAACAACTCCAAGTTGCAGCATGTATGAGGAAAGAAAGAAAGAATTCAACAACAGAGCCCTAAGGGACCTCATCAGGAGAGCCTGGCAGTCAAAATAAACTCTCACTCCATTCTGGTGACTCACTCGACCCAATTTAGTTTTCCAAAGTACTACACTCCTGAAAAAACCCCAAATGCCCCTAAAAGACCAAACCCAGGTGGTCAATCAAAAAACACAAAGAGAACAGGACATAAACAAGAGTAGGGACATTCTTAAAAACTGCATTTAAACTCAAAAAGGCTGCTCAGCAGATCAAAAGTCTTTGATTTCATGTCATTTTCTGTCAAGCGTTAATTACCTTCATGAGCTGCACTAGATAAATCATTAGCATTTAAACATGACTGGTCTTGAGCTTTTTCTAGTCAACACAGTAACTGGGTCTGGCCCTGAGGAAGCGCAGATAATGACAGTTATTAACAATGTCTAATTTCCCCAAATGAGAACCATTGAAGTGGATTTTGTTAGTAGTTTTGACCCAGACAGAAAAGAAGGGATTTTAAAATTCTGCTAAAAAATAAAACCTTCATTTTAATTTTTACTCTGTTCAAAACAAATCAAATCGGTTTAAAGAGCAGAACATTACAGATTCTTCTCTTTCTGATGCATTGAATGAACAGGAAAAGCTTCAGAAAAGTTTTCATCCACATAAACTTGCACAAATAAACTGAGTGACTTAAGCATGCCAGACCTGTAGGGGGCGGTGTAGCATACAGCTAAAACCAGTCAGCCAATCCGATTGCTTTAAGCAACCATGACTTCATTAAACATGGAGGCAGAAAGACAAACACACAGGTTCAACTGCGGGTCTAAAATCCTGTCTTAATGTTTATGAATTCCTTTTGATGAATGCGTCTTATTTTCATATTTTAATGTTTAAATCTGTATTTTATGGGCATTTGTTGCTGTTTTATACCAGTTGTTTTAATTGTAAAACTTTTGAGATTTTTGTAAATGTCAAATTAAATTTATCACTAATAGCTACTTTTATATAGCAGCAAATGCAGTTAATGAAACAAAACTATGTCAGAGCATGTACGTAGATATACTGGTGCATTATTAATTGCAGATTATAATGCACAGGATGCAAAATCTCTATTCAAACATAGTTTACTCAAATCTCCACTTTGGTTGAAGTTCATATAAATAATAATTTTTAGTGACATTAAACAGTTTTTGTGTTGATGAAAAGCCCAAACACATAAAAATGTATCCGTTTGATCAGATATCCAACCATTTGTGGACTTAGCCTAACCTGCACTTTGAGTGAATTATGGATAAAAAATATCTATAAACATGGTGTAAAGGGTCATGTGTTCTTGGTCAGTTGAGGTTGTATTTACATCATTGTGAAACCTTAGAGTGTTTACTTTTCTTACTTTGCATCAGGACTGTATGCAATATCAAGGCCTGACCTCATTCTACAAAAAAATAAATAAAATAAACGTGTTATGAAGGGAAATCTAAATTTTAGGCATTTTTCTTTTTAAAAAATCAGTACTTGTGAGCCGACATGTATTCATGAATTACAGGGATGCATCTGTGCCTACCTGGTTTCTAAGAGTATTTGCACGGCTGCATAAACATACGCCGTTAATGTTGACGCTCAGGAGCGTTTAAGCTTAACGGCCTTTCTGTGTTTTTAATGTATGTGTGCAGTTTTGTTTCCACCTTATATAACCACTATGTCCTACATCTGTTGCAGCGGACGCACACACACACACACACACGCACACACACACACACACACACACAGCTTTGGCTGCACCATACACAATCCCTTAGCCTAGGGATTGTGTAGTAACCTCATTCTCTCATACACACACACACACACACACACACACACACACACACCCTGAAAAGGGCAAAGTCAGATTTTAATCGCTCTCTCACTGCCGATGTGTTTCAGAGCCGACTGAACAATGACTGAGTAAATGGAAGGTTTTGGTTTCAGGTTTCCTAACAACATGTTCATGTGATTTCAACTATAATCACTTACAACGTTTATAAAATGAAAAACATTTAAACTAACAGAAGCAAAGAAAAGCTTAGCATAAAGCAGCTTTGCTGCTGCAGAAAGTTGCAAAGGACTAAAGCTGTTTTAAAATAGATAACATTAAAATTAAAAGACATGAAAAAACATTTATTTAGCAAAAGTAGAAAGACGTTCAGTGGTTGTGAAAGTAACAGTCAAGGCCCTATTGTGGGTTGGGAAGCTCAGTTTTGGGTCATATTTCAAATAAACAAGAAATAATCTGAAATAATATTTTTTTGCAATAATTGTAAAGAGATTTAAAGCAAAGAAAACCTGATTACAAAAAAGAAAACCTTGTTTTCTTTAGAAACCATACAAAATCAACTCCTGTGGAAATGATCCACCCAACAATACAATGTAATATTTATTGGTTGTTTCATAATTGGTGAGTTTGTGACGTTTTTCTGACGTAAAGCACTTTGACCTGCTTTATTACTAAAATGTGTTACACAAATAAACTTGACTAGACAAGCTTGGCACAACAGACCAAGCTGGTTTGGTAGATTTTTCATTTTAATAAGCAAAACAATTATCTGAAAAGTTTAAATAACACAAAAAAAGGGGATAAATGTGTGAAGGAAAGAAATGTAGAGGTATTTTATCTAAACTTCTGATTCTGGCTCTCTGGATGAACTGAAACCTGATTAACGAAGACGACCTGTTGGCTCTTTAAACGCAGCTCTGCGTTCCTGCTGATGATGAATGGCGACATGTTTTTCTTCATGCTGCGTGAGTTAGGAGCAGCTCACTGAGCCGTAGCTGGTTTTTTCTGCACCTCCACCTCAAGCAGTACCGGTTGGGTAACGGCCACACAGGAAGATCTCGCCACAAGTAGGTCACAATCACATAACCGCTTCCTGCGCTGACACACTGACCTAAATTACCTTCAAAGATTTCACCTACATTTCTCCATTTTTTGGAAAAACTTCTAATAATTTACACTTCAGGTGTAGAATTAAAAGTCCTTATGTTAGAATGACAGATGTCACCAGAGAGGTAGCGCAGGGTAAAACCTCCATCTGGCCATTATGACCCTGCAGATCAGTTTCCTGTTATGTGCATGAGTTTTGTTTTTTCAGAACAATGCGACATTTGAGAAGCTGTTGGATAATCAGCGGGGTTATCAGGAAAGCCTCCATCTCAAAGACGTCTGATCTCATAAGGATGACAATAAATAAGACGTTTTCATTCAAAACAAAGTGACTAGATAAAACCTGGTCCCATCTTTAACCCTCAAGCTGGAAACAGAGTTAAAGAGCATTGAAATAAAATCACCAACGCTAATTGGATGATGGTTTGCCAGGTGTCAGGGCAGCTCTGCACGTTGCAGAGGGTGTACTTACTTTTAAAGCTGCTCTGAAACACGTGTCAGGAAAAGATCTATTCTCTACTGGGACAAAGTTACGGATGCACTGATCCACTTTTTCCACTTCTGATATCTGAGGTTTAGAATCAGCCGATACCGATCTGATGCCGAAAATCAGCTGACCTGTCTGTAAATGTTTATTTGTTTAAACAAATGTACTGAAATACTGATGTATTTGACACCTGTGCACCAGTACAGCCCCCTTAAATACACAAAATCTTTTCACAAACATGGAAAAACAACCCAACTTTAATTTGCTCCGTCAGTGTAATCCAGGAGAATAAAAAACTGGCAAAAACATGTCAAAATAAACTGCAACAAACCTTTGAAATGGTTCAGAAAGTGCAATTAATTACTCTGAATATGATGTAAAATGAATAATAAAGCATGAGGTCACTCAAAGCACAAAGTATAGAATTAGACTGAATAGATCAGAAACATTGTCACTAATACCTGATCTAGAGTTTTTTCCAATATTGGGACTGATCCAGATATTAATATTGGATCATACGCATCATAAGAGGATAAACATGCTTTGCTGCTAATAATATAAAAATGTAAGGTCATATTTAATGCAACTGCTGATTTCTTTATAATTACTGGAGTTGAAACCTAAAATAAATGCATTTGAATCTTAAGTGTTACTGAAATCCTGCGTTTCCTGCAGGAACCGCCGGAGGAACTTGAGCATTTTTAGATCCAGACGAGCGCCGAGTCAAAACCTCTTTGCACTGATTGCTTCTGTAATGAGCTAAAAACAGACATGAGGAGGGAAACAGACCAAAGCAGGCCAGTGACCCCTGAACTCGGTCCAAAGAGACGCAGCTCTTCAAACAACTGGACTCAGGTGAGTTCCCATCGACCCTGAAAGGTAGGCACTGACCTCATGTCCGCCTGCAGACTGACCTGCACCAAGGGGATTATGGGAAAGCAGATTTAAACCAAAGGGCACCTTGTGGCTGTGGAACCACTGACTGCTCTCCTCCAGCTCACAACTCTTAACTTTGCAAATTATTTTGTATTTTTTGCAAAACTAGAAAAATCTGTGTCCTGAAAACATGCTTGGATAGTGCCTTAAAAAATCCACCATATCTAAATCACTAAAAGCAAGTACAGACCTAAAATATTAATTTCAGTAATTTAGGCAAAAAGTAAACTTTACAGATTTGTTTCAGATCTCTGGAAATGAGTGAAATGAAGCTTTAAAAGCAGAGAAATGCTGACATCATGCTGCAGAGTGCAGAACTGCAGCTGCCTGGAGGAAAGTGATTATGATTCCCAGATTAGATTATCAGTCGTCGTTTTCACACCCAGTCAGAGCAAAAATCATCTCAAAGTTTGGCTCAGGTTCCAGCTAAGAGAAGCAATAACAGCAATAATAATACACGAAACTGAGAGTGAAGCTACAATCTTTGTTTAATGAACCGAAACAATAAAGCTTAGAAAGTGTTAATAATGCTCTGACTGCAAATCAACAGCTAACAAAAAAAAGAAGATTTTTTACACATTATTTGTTTCAGTTTGTAAAAACTGAATATAATTTCATTCACTTGGAGGTTTTTGAAACCAAAATCATAATTTGGAACTGGAATAATCCTGAAATCCCCACTTGGGTTTTATTTTTACCTCTAATAGATTAGATCAATTAAATTTGTTGAATTAAGAACATTTTACACAAGCGAGTTTGTATTGGTTGGTAATCTTTGAAGAGAAAATCAGAATCAGCAGATCAGACCTGAAACAACCAGAAATCAGAGAATGACAAAAGAACCAATTTAACGTTTTACATTTTTACAAATACTGAAAATTTTATTCCTGTTTCTGATTTGGAGAAAAGTCCCACTGCTCAGATATTTCTGAACCCACCAGGTGACTCCAAAGAGTCCAGAGGGACGGTCGTTTCTCTTGATCGTACAAAACAAAACTGAAATTATTGATTCTAACTTTCCTAACGGCCAGAACTTTGATTTAACTAGACCGATTTCCTCATTTACACCAATCATGTTTTAGCAATGGAAGGAAAACTTGATCTGTTTTCCTTGGGAGCTAAATATTAAGAAATGATACTTCTGAGAATAATCAATTTTAGAAATTCACACATATTTTCCAACAGAAAACATCCAGAGTTAATGGTGCTTCACTTCCGTTTCTTAGCTTAACATTTAAAAACAAAATAAAAATATTCGCAGTGAGTGAAACTTGTTCATCTCTCCTTCATTCCTCAGTGAGGAGCTACAGAGTGAATAGTAGCCAAACTCAGACAAATCATCTTACCTCCACCTGTTGACCCCGACGTTAGACGAGCCTGCGAACCACGGGTCCAGGAAGTAAACGCAGCGCACGGTGCCAGCCCCCCGCACCGCCTCCTGCAGGGCCGGATTGTCATGGAGGCGCAGCCCCTTACGGAACCAGTGGATGGAATTTGGGGCCATCGTATTCTGCAAAGGACAAACAGAAAGTAGTAAATAATCAAACATCAGGACCCAAGTATTTTCAGGACATACAATCTGGATTTGAATGCAGCTTTTTACCAGGACTCATTATTTTACATCCAAACTGCAGTTTTCTGGATCATAAGGTGGTTCTGTGAGAGCTGCAGCTGCAAACAGCCAGAGACGAGCAGGACAGAAAAAATGTCGCCTTTGTCCCAGAAAACGTCCAGGACATGTTGAGGTTCTGCAGAAACCGCAGAAAAGTTCTTCCTGTCATCAGTTCTCCTTCTGATTGGCTGGGAATTTGGGAAATTATTTGTCCAGAAAGCAAAAGTGCAAGTAGGCCTTTCAGAATGAGCAATAAATTAATCACATTATTAATTAAAACAAACTTAATAATTTCTACTTGAGAAAAGTTTGAGAATGTGTTCTTGCATCATTATGCCATTCCCTGTGTATTACTTGAAAATGATCTCCATACGATGTTACTGTTTATCACAATAACGTCTGGCACAATTTAACATCCAGCAAAACGATCATGACAGGCTTAGGTGCACGATAAGTTACTAAAATAAGAACTGCAACTTGGCTGCAGATCCAAAATGTTCTCCTAAAACTCGTCTTTCTGTTGGCGGAGGATGCCAGGCGTAGGAAAGCCGTTCATTCACTCAGCTGGCTTCGATACAAACACAAAGACGGGTCACCTCCGCCTTTTTTTGAACGCATCTCTGAACACAGTCAGAACTCAAGCTGTTATTTTTCCCGTTTGACCAAAAGGCTCCAGCCTCCAGCATGGAAACCGGACGCTGAACTGAACAGCTGAAGGAAGACGAGCAGAGCATCCGTGGCAGACGAGCGGCTGCTAATTAGAGGAAGCTCATCCGCTGCAGAGCAAGCTGCCGCTTGGCGCGCCTGCAGCCTCTTTCACCGCTTGTTTTCTGAATGGAAGAATCAGAAAATCGCCCACTGACAGCTAGAAGAAGAACCATATGCTCATCGTTCTTTGAGATGTGGTTGCTATTTTTACTCTAGCAGGAGCCAAAAAGAACCGCCGCGCTAAATGGATTTACAGAACTAGATTCCCATAGTATGGCAGCAAAAATATCACCATTTTAAGCCATTTTATAAAGAATACATAGTTCATTTATTTACTGACTATTTATTTCACAATGAGAACCATTTTTAAGCTGCACAAAAAAGTTGTGGGTTCAAATCGCAGCGTACATAATGTTGTTCTCCGGATGCATGAATGTGTTTTCTCTGGGTGCTCCAGCTTCCTACAACATGACTTTGGGTTATAAAATATTCTAAATTAACTTTAAGTCTGCATGGTTGTTTCTCCTCTGTCTAAATTAGGTGACCAATCACCAGGAGCCTCATCCATTTTCCTTGTCCCTGATTGGCTGTAACTGTGGCGATATGGAAAACCATACATATTAGCTTCTGTGCCAAGATGGTTTCCACTGGACGTTTTAAGGCACGTTAAGGTGTATTTGGTGTTTAAACTATTAAACTAGATCACACACTCTATGCTTGATGTGTTTAATCCAATACTTCAGCCATTATCTTATTTTATGTAAAAACTACCATCTTGCTTCATGGTTTGTCGCTAAATACACTTATATACTCAAATATAAAAACTTATACTCCCATTTAAGTTAACTCCTACTGTTAAGGTACAAACTCCAAAATTACAGAAACGACAGAATTTAGTTCAGAAAGTTTCAGGTAAAAAACTGCAGAAAGTCACATTTACATGAATTCCCCCTAATGAACCCATGAGCTTACCTTTTCATTCATTATTCATACTCCAACAATCATAACTCATAAACATGTTTTAGCTTTCCTGCCATCACCCATTCAGTCATTTCCAGTGGAGGATTGATGTGTTAACATGTTACAAGAGGAAAACATGGGAATGAGTGTTCTGTGAGGATCCACACAGCCAGGCAGTGGCAGCAGGTGGCCGGATTTCAGAGGAATCCTAATGGCATCGATTCAATTCGCCCCAAATTAATCAAACTTTTGACAAAAAAGAAATCCTAAGACACTTCATGAGAGAAAACAGCCATAAAATGGATGGGAATTAAGTTAAATTCACTTTAAATCAACTTTTTCTCCCAACACCAAATCAATTGAATCCAATGCAATGCAGTCACATTCATATCCAGATCTAAATGATCAATCCAACTTATTCCAAATCGGTCTAATCCGGCCAAAATCCAATAATAAATCATAGTTTAGCAAATATATCCAATTAGATTTATTTTGGACACAATTCAATTTACTATAACCAGTTCACATCCAATTTCGTCCAATTTATTTCAGTGCAACACAATTAGATTCAGATTCAAATCAAATTAAATGCAACTTTGTTCTTTTCAATCCATATTAATCCAATGCAGTTTAGATAAATACAGATTCAATAAAATATATGCAATTTAATCAGTTATGTTACAATTTAAAATAACAAGACAATGGAGCACCTTAACAGCATTTAACTAAATTTAATAAACCATAACAAATAAAATTACCAAAATACTATTATCAAAGTTATTAAAAAAAGAGAAACATTTTGTTTGTCCTCAACTATAGTTTTTTATACTGAAAACAGGACGCTGATAGAAAGGTGGCGAGTTATTAATTAAAAAAATATTCACATTTCATTATCTATTCAATACTAATTGAAAATCTAATATTGCAATATATATTAGGGATTATTTAAACCAAAAGGTATTGCATTAAAACCCTATAAAGTATATTCTATTGTAATAGTTTGGTTATAGTTAATTTAAATGGTTATTATTTTCTGAAAAATCCTATAAAAGTCAAAAAGCTGAGTTCTGTTTATAAAAACAGACGCTTTCTTTCTAAAGTATGAGGTCAGCGACTGCGACTCCTCTAGATGGAAATTAGGTCACATCGACTGTCTGAATGGGGCCTGAAATGCTGCAGAACACCTCATATGAACTTAAAAATTAGTATTTATATAAAGTTAAGCATATATAAATTCTTAATTTCTCATTTTGGCCTCAAGTAGTTGAAGACAGATGTACATTTAAGCAGGAGGAAGTTTACTTGTCTGCTGGGAAAGACCAAAACGGGGTCACCGGAGCGGAGCTTATGTAAGCTGCGCGGCGCTGTTTCTACCACTTTAGATTAAAATAAAACACACAAGGCACGAATAAAGCCTCGCCATACCTTGTGCTGGCTCCCCGGGAGTGATGTTTATGTCAAGCCCAGAGAAAGAATCATTTCTTCAGTCCTGCAGGAGTGCAAATCAGCGATGTGTACCGGGGACGTGCCAGCAGTCTCTGCCTGAGAATCCCTCCGTGTTCCTCCTGTGCCCTACTACTGTACCGCGTTTCATAACAGATGGAGCCACTGCGCATGTGCGGAGCAATACATACGCCGGCTTCATGTTGCCTTCACTGTCCAAGGCTTTTACTAATCCTGTCCACTCATCACATCACGTTTAAGAATAAAATATAGAAAATAAGAACAAACATGAAGTCTTATTCATTCAATATTGAATATAAAGTTTGTGTACATAATTTAGCTTTTAAATGTTAAGCAACTTTGTAAAACATGTCATTATTTTGTCGGTTAAAGCTGTTATTTTCAGAAAAAAATATGAAGAAACAGTATCGTGAATACTAATTGAGCAAAATCTTTTTTGCTCAATTAGGAACTAAAAACCGTCTGTTTTTAGTTCCGTGAGCATTAATATCTGCGACTCATTCAAAACATCTAATAATTCCCATGTTAATAAAGGCAACACCAGCCCAACCAAACGTGAACTCAGACGTGTTTCCGAGGCGGACAAGCCCATTGGTCGGTATGCTGTCACATGTGTGATATCGGTCACGTTTAGGAGGCATGGAAATGCGGAAGTTCCTTCACACTAGTTATGAATGGTTGAGTCATTTAATTGGGAATCTTGGTGGCAAGCAAATAAAAAAGAAGGTGGATATTCATGTAAATTTAGCTATATAATGTAGTGAATGCACTGACGCTGAAATAAAAATATTCCAGAGAACTCTAATAATATATAAATATAGGTAAATATAGGTCAATTTATTTACTTAAGTGTATTTAGCACAAAACGCTAATACTATGGGTGCCGAATTACAGTGTATGTTTATAAGAAAAATGAAATATTTACTTGGAGATTCTGTGATGAAGCTTACAATACCTTTGAAAATGCAGATGCATAATAATTACAAAAACCATAATAATAATAATAATAATAATAATAATAATAATAATAATAATAATATACATAAATAATAACAGTAATAATAATGCAGTGTGGAAATACAAAAGGTTAATTGGTCTAAAAAACAAAACTTTGTGGTAAAAGTGGTGGAAGTATAAGATGACATGCCTGCTACTCCTTATAATAGTAGTAATAATAACAATTTGAATATTTTTAAACAGGTTTTGTAAAAATAAAAACAACCAAACTGCATTTTTTCTCTTTGCAGTTGAAACAAAAAAAAAAAAAAGAGAAAACTTTGTGGAGACACTTTCCTGAAGTTGGTAAGAGAGTTATGTTATAGGGAACATGGCCTGAAAGGCCACTCAGAGATGAAGAAGCCATCACTCCAAAGATAAAATTAAAAGGCAGACTAAAATCTGGACTTCCACATGGGAGCCAAGACTCTAATGGAACTACAATAAGATGTTTGGCCATCATGACCTTCGTCACAAAAAAAGATAAATCAAAATAAAAGTAATATAAAATATAACTAAAACTAGGTATTATTATTTTGTCATTTAGCAAATATGAATTGTTTTTGAAAATGTCTTTGACTCAAAATAGGAAACATTTAGTCTGATTTACTGCTAGACATTAAGGGAGAGAAAAAAACTTTGTTTTTATACTGAACCTATAACCATTTAGTTGAATAAAACAGCTTCTGTAATTTCATATCTGAACATAAACATATGATCTGGCTTATTGTAGACAAAAAGACAGGAAAAAGTAAGATGTGTTTCAACAATTTCCATAATTGTTCCAACTTTAACAGGAATGTCCAAACCTTTTGTCAAGTGGGCCAAAATAATTTTATCTTTAAAAACTAAAATCATCCAAAATTTTGTGATTTGTGTTTTATCCACTTACAAACTAAGCATAAACCATTCTAAATAAAAAAGATTTTTTTTTTTTTTTTTGTGGGAACTGGATCATAGATCCAAAATCTCTAATGGCTTTTCCTTGTTAATAAAAAGCCTCCAGATTGCTCAATATTTTGGGCCTGATTTGAAGAAAACTGAACTTATATTCTCAGCAATAAAAACAGGATCTATGTCAGTCTTCATTTCAATTTCTGTATTCAGCCAAATTTTAATACACCAATTAAAAGCAGAGTTGGGTGCACCAACATGAACTTTAGAGTATATGTTAATGAGCCGAATAACATGAAAACAGAAGGAAACAAGAAAGCTTGGAAAAGTTGATCACTGAGTTACGTCTAACATTTTTAGTAGATTTTGATTTAAAAGCCCTAGTTTTGCCCTAATTTATTAATTTATTCCTGAATTGTGGCCACAAAAAGTCAGTCTAGGGGCTGCAAATGGCCCTCAGGCCTCACTTTGAACACCCTGGCTCTGTAAGCTTCTAATTATTCACACCAAATTATAGAAACTTATTGACAGTGAGATATGTGGGGCTTTTTGCTGATCACGACTTCTTCATTTCCATATTTTTTACAGTCTTGCCCTCAAAGCTCATTATACGTTCCACATGCACAAATGAATGGAAAATCACCTAAAACTGGCTTCTGAAAATAATAATAAGAAAAATGAAATTGATGTGATATATTCTTTTGTTGGTACATTGCAGTAAAAGCCTAATAAGGCCATTTTAATAGCTTCTGAAGTGAACGTAGGGCAGCCTGTCAGTTTATTTCTGTCTGCTGGACCCGGTCCAGTTCTTTTTCCTCATTCTGTTTGCTCGCCCTGCTTCTTACTCTCTGTTTCTGCCAGTCAGCAGATGGTCTGGTGAGGAGCGCTAACACAAACAGTCGCTGCTTACGGCACTGTCATCAGATACGGTGTCATCTAACGTGCGCATCCCCGTCAAACTGCGTGAATATTCACCAAAATATGATGCAGCAAATCACTGATACTGACACAAGAAGAGAGATAATAAATCAGAATGTGTACCACAGAAGAGGAAAACAGGAAAAAAGAAAGCAGAACTTTATTTGTCATCTTTTTAATCAGAAATCTCAGCCGTATGTTTGTGTATGTGCCTGTCATGAACTCTGGTTCAGTTGGCGGTTTTGTTGTGTTTCTCCTGGTGGGTCATTGGCTGGAGACGGAGAGCGGCCTCCCACTCTGAAGGTGCTCCTGCTGTGCTGACGTCTTGTCTCAGGGTCAAGCGGCGTGCTGATGTCAGCGCCTTGGGCTCAGCAAATTCTTTTCCAGGAATGCCCTCATATGTTGCTGCATCTAATATTTTTTTCCACCCACTGTGGAATCACAGGTCATAACTCAGCCTAATAATTCATCATCTGCATCCATTTAGTATAAATTTGTTCCCTCATATCGGCTTCTCTCTCAGGCTTCATGAGCTTTCCAGGAAGGCTGTAATCTCATCAGATTTTGCAATGCTGTTTAGCTGTAAAATCTATGGGTTTGAATATTTATTTAAAGATTAACAGGTCATTTGTCTTGATCTATAAAGTGTTATGATTAAGTGTTTGTGATTTCAAATGATAGTTTCCTCATTTGATCCTAGGTTTATTGTAGGTTCAAGTTTCTTTCCTCCCTTTTCTTTGTCTTTTATTTATCTTTCACCTTCTTTCTCCCTTCAGCCTGCCATTCTGTTTATTATTTCCCCAGCTGCATCCACTCACCTGTAATTAGCTCCTCTGGTCCTCTGTGTCATTTCCACCTCTCCCTCAGTGTTTGAGCTCCTTTTTCTCTTTCACTAGCTGCATTTCCATCAAATACATGATTACGTAATTTGACTTTTCAAAAATAAATTCGCTTAATAGAAACACGCTGATTTTCTAGCAGCAATAAAAGTTTTGGTGCTTGGATGATGTGTGTTTTTCTGGCGATATCAAAATTGGTTTATTTCACACAACTGCAATGAAAACCCCTAATTTGCATTGCACAAGTCACATGATCAACAACCAGATGCTGCCACTCAAACCACGAAGAAGACGACAACAGGAAGTGGCTGGGGGATGATTTAAAAATAGAAATTAAATTAAAGCGGCAGGGCATTCATAATGTATTTTTGATTTAAAGTCAGTGAAAAAGGAGATTGCTTTGTATAATTTAAAAGATATATGATAAACATGGGTGAAAACTTCACACATAAATACACAATCTTATCAGATTACATGCAATTAGGATCAGTTTAGACATAATTTTGTAAAAATACAACCCCAAAGAATAAGAGGGGCAGAAAATCAGAAAATCTTGTTTCTTCTACCTGCTTCCTTCAAACAATCTAAAATTACCTGATTTTAATTTGTTTTATTTTTTTTATTGTTTTTACTTTGTCTGTTTGAAATAATAAAAAAATGTGACAATCCAAGAGACCCAGCTGTGAAGTTTTAAGATTTTCTTCAGTAAACATAAAAAATACTAAATATGTGTTTATTCTGTAAGTTTGCTTATGTGTTTGCATGCAGATGTGGATTAACAATGAATTAATGATGTAGCTGTAATGTTTACTTTTGCATCTTGATGGGAAACGTTTCCTGGGTTCTGGTCCTGCTGGCAGTCTGAAAAGACAACACGCTCCTTCACCAAAACCTCCAGGAACACACGGCGGCCACGCCGAGGCGCTTCCAGCTCAACCAGAAACAACCCTGGGTCAGAGCCTGCATGTCAGGTTGCAGCACATGTGGGATCCTCCATCAGCGCGAGGTGGCGACTGCCGCACCTGCTGTGCTAACAGAATTCACCAACCAGCGTCACAACGATGGTTTTCAGGATTACATTCATTTATGCAATGTTAAACTGACGTTAGTAAGTCAAGACGAACTCTTTAATGCCAAACAATTTGACTTAAAAATGACCCAAAAATAGTTTTATTACAGTTTTTTTATCGAGTCATCCTCAGGATTTCCATGGGTCCATGGATTACCTGGATGATCAGTGAACATGTCAATGCATCAGAATAGGACAAAGTCAGTTAATGTGACCGGCAGATAGAAAACTTTTCTGGACCAGTTGCCATCATAAACTGAACTCGACTAAATAACGTTTTAATTTTCTGCATATTTCTGTAGGATTTGATTAATTCGTATGTTTCTGTATCTAAATTAAACCAATTTGTTTTGTAAAGTGCCTTGAGAAGATAAATACATTTAATTGAATATTCTCTCTGAAAGAGCAAACACACAAATTTTATTCCAAATTTTTATCACCCATTAGCTGCATTTCCATTAAAAATGTGCACAACACTAAAGTTGATAATGTGCTAAAGTTGAATGAGTTTCCATTAAATAAGAAACAATTTAAATCCCTTAATAAAACTTGTTCGAGCAATAAATCAATAAAAAATATGCTGTGCCATCCTCCTACATATCCTGTCATTTTTTGTCTTTTCCATCAGTAATAACATCCAGCTGATCACTTTTTGATACAACTGAAAAACCATATCATCCTGAAGCAAAAACGTATAAAATTAACACTGGATGGATTAATCAGGTGTGGGATGGATGATGTTAACAGGTGACAACCTGACAGCTGTCTGCAGTTTCTGCCGTTAACATTCAGTCTGATCTGTTCATCAATCAATCAATAAATCAAGTTTATTTTTAATGCACATTTTGGCAGCAAAGTATCTCAAAATGCTTCATGTTATAAAAACACAAAAATAAAAACAGCTACAAAAATTATATTTTCTCATCAAAATCATTAATATACATCAAATATGTTGGTCAATATATAAAGATATAACATAAGAGATTTAACTTTCATGTCTGTCAGAGTTAAAACTGGTTTGGTCCATTTTAGTGTGACCTGAAATTCATCTTTGGCACTGATTATAATAAATATAATAAAACACTTTCTCTGCAAAATAACAAAAGAAAAATCCAATATTGCAAGTCAAGCTTCTCTAAGGCACATGCATATCCATGTGCCTGTGTGATACAGACTCTCAAACACCCAACAACATCTACTCATCATTCACCTTACTGGCAAGCAGAGCGGATCCACACACACGCCTGGTTTTAGCGCGCAGACGTCATGCGTCTGAATGAGTCAGCGTGTCGGAGGAGAAGCACTTTCATCCGCAGCTCATCCACACCTACAGGCCTTCCCAACCAAATATTATTCACGGCCACTTCCTCTGCTCCTTTTGCTTCTGCTGTTTGGTCCGTGACAATCTGAAAATATTATTATTTTAATTTATAAAAGTAAACATTCATTGTTGAGCAGGACACATTAAAAACACTCTAAAACTTGACAAGATGACCTTACTTAAAAAAAGTTGTCAATTAAAGTCAACATTAGTTTGACTTTGTTACCAAACTTTAACCAAAGTCAAGTTTTATTCACTCATCTTTTTCAGTTAAATGCAATATTACAAGTGAAAAGTTATTTTTTATGATGAGCGTTTTGGGTGTGAGTTTTTGTAGAGTGCAGTTTCCAAATACACTTAAAAAAAAATCTCAGCTGCAGAGTTGATGCATAAAGTGAATATTTGGCATGTCATTTGTGACATATTCATGCTTCCAAGGACAATCTACACTTAAAAAAATAACCTGTAGTGTCCATATAAAGTGCTCTGAATTACAAATAGGATTCACAACGACCTTTCTTGCGTCAGCAGCAACTCTTCCCTGCACTGTTGTTGAGCTGCAACTCCTGCTCTGGGTGAGCACCGTCTTCGGTTTTGGTCCGCAGCGGGTCCAAACTGGACTGAATGGACAGAATCTCCTCCACCAGCCTCCTGAAACACAGCAGAGATGCAAAACAACAACGGGAAGAGAAACGAGCAGCTGGCGTCAACGAGAGGAACGAAGTTTAAAACCTTCAGTCTCTCCGACACACAGAAAGACAGACAGAAGAGAAAGAACAGAAAAGGAAGGACAGAATGAAGGATACACAAAAAAAGATAAAGGAAGACAGAAAGGAACAAAGAAAACAAGGAAGGAAGGACATAAAGAAAAAATAAAGGAAGACAGGAAGGAAAACAAATCCTATTTTTATGACTCAAGGTGAACATTTTACATGTAGTTCCATGGATTAGCATCTTAGCCCTCAAACATGGCTCCCCCCATCAGACTGACGGGATTTAAATGTCGTCCTGGTAGTTGCCGTGTTGAACCATGTTAGCTCTGGACATGCTTTGTTACCTCATTGCCTCGTCGATGTTCTTGTTGTCTTTGACTGAAGTTGCCATCCATGTGAAGAAGCCGTGGGCCTTGCAGAACGACTCAATGTGGTCTACTGGGACGGCCCAGTCAGACAGGTCGCTCTGTGGGGGAGCAGAGGGACAAAAAAGACATTTAGGAAAACACAGAACGCTCCTGCAGATCAGTACTGGTGAACATGCAAAAAAAAACATAAATGTCCTATCACTCTCAGAATGGGCTGAACATGCTTAATTAACAAGGTAAATATTTAGTTAGCAAGCAAAAATATGGAACTCCAAACTAAATATTTAGTTTACAAACAGAATTTTTATTTTGCAGGCTAAATATTTAGCTCCATATTAAATATTTAATCAACAAAGTATTTAGCTGTGTTAATCCATCAACACTGCAAATGTTTGGGAGCAGCTCTGATCTTGGTCCCATAAAACATTGGCATTCCCGTCTGTCTTTCAGAGACTGCTGGACAGAGTCACCACAGAAAACAGGTGGGTGGATCTTCAAAATAGGAAACGTGTAACCTGATTTAATACCAAACACTGAGAAATAAGTCATGTATATTTTCATAGAATGACTGTAAACTTCTGGCTTCAACTGTATGTTTCATTCCTGCACTTTTGCTTCTTGTAATAATTTATTTTGCTTCCCTGTCCTTCATATCTCATCTTCTGCAACTAACTTACTGGAATGTATTTAAAACTGGGATTTGGAAACAACATGACATTCACATCAACCCTGTTTAGTCCGCTTTAATCAAACTCTTGCTCGTTTGTCTAGAAAGTCCGGTTCGTTTGGGGAAGTGTGAATGCGCAAACGAACTCACCAAAAAAAAGCAAACTCTGGTCTGCCTAAAACCTCGATCTTGGTTCGGTTTAAGTGAACGAATGCATGGACACAAGTGAACCGGAAACCGCTCCAAAGCAGGAAGTTAACTACAGTGCAAGGCATTCTGGGTCGACAGCCAAAATAAATGTGTCAGTCTTGCACTACAGGGAGAAATATCTTGTGTTTTTTCTTTACAGGAGACAAACACTTAATGGTACTCCATTTCTGTTTACATTTTGTGGAGAAGGAAGTTTGTCCTGGTCTTGGTGTCATTTCCTTCAGTGATTCTTGCTGCAGCGCCCCCACAGGCGAGGAGGTGAATAGGTTTTTCAATTATTTCGGATTGTTTGACACTGTGTAGCATTAAAGCGAGTCACACGAGCTGAAAATGTAACAAATGTGGGAATTTTGATCCCCAATCAAATCGAGGTGTGAAAACACGCTTACATGTGCACCATCTCAAATTTCTCATGTGGCTCTTCATAAAAAGATGAGGACGATGGTAACTCAGCAGCGCTAAGCTCTCCTAGTGCATCATGTATTGGCTAAATAAACCGACTCACCTTGTTTGCCAGCAGGATGCATGGGATGGAGCTTCCATTGGGCAGCGTGGCCTTGCTGTCCAGGTCCTGTTTCCACTGGTGACACTTGAGGAAGCTTGATGTGTCTGTGACATCAAACATCAACACGGAGCCCACCGCCCCTTTAAAATAAACTCTGGTCATGGAGATGAAACGCTCCTGGCCTGGAAGGGCAGACAACATTCATGCACATTTCAGTGATCAACTTATGCTTATGCATAAACCTATAGTTCACTTTGAACTAATGTTTCTTACCTGCAACGTCCCAAAGTTGAACTCTGACCTTTTCTTTGTCAGACCAGTGCAGCGTCTTAAGAGAGAAATCCACTACAGAAGTAACCAAACTCACATTAGGAACACAGTTTGAGAAAAACTCAGGTTCATAAAGCATCATAAACATATTTATTATGTTTATATTTACCCAGATATTCATATTGAATTCAGAAATACTTAAATGATCCCAAAGGGAAATTCAATTATTCTGCTCTTCTTTAATTCTGGAGAGCCCAACATGAGTGTGAATGAATGGAAGAGGGTTGGGGCCACCGGAAAAAAAAATAAATTAAAAAAAGAATTGTGACTTTTGAGCTCAGAATATGAAAAACTAAAATAAAATCTGACTTTTTTCTCAAAATTTAGACTTTTTTTCCCCTCAGAACTCTGACTTTTGATCTCAGAAGATTGAAGTCATAATTCTGAGAAAAAAGTCAGATTTTTTTCAGTAGCTGTAATCCTCGTCTGTACAGTCCAGAAAGGTTGAATGGTTTGTCTGACAAATTCTGGGTCTTTCCTGAGTTTTCTCCTATCAAGATGTGATTGGAAACTGATGCTCCAAACCTTTAAAACCACCTTAACAGACACATTTAAAATGGAGGAATGATGGCTCTGTTCATAAGGCTTAATTGTTCTGCTTTTATTCAGAATCTTGTTCTTTTGATGAAGATCCATATTTCATGATCATGGAAAAACAGGAGAACTAGTAAATCAAGAGCTTTAATTTTTGACTCTGTCCTCTGTTTTCCTGGCTTAGACACTGAATACAAGCAACTAGCAACACAACCTTTGAAAAAAGAAAATTAAAACTAAATCTGTCTTTGTGAAACATCAGTATTTGACAATTACTTTGAGTCTCCTTTACAAGACCATGTTAAACATTGAACACACAAGTCAGCCCAGATGAAGAGCCTGAAAAACTATAATTGTTGAGAACCATTTTGCCTACCTCCTACAGTCATTTTGTACGTTCTGTTGAACTGTCCACTGACGTAGCGATGCACAAATGAAGACTTCCCAACGTTTCCATCTCCTAAAATCAGTATTTTCAGCAGGTGCTCTTTCATTTTGTTTGCTCAGAAAGCGAACCAGAGGGACTCTTCAGCTGGAAGGTGCCATATCCCAAAGTTCAAACAGGAAATGGGATTTAATAAGCACATAAAGCTTTTATGTTGTTCGCGTGTATGAGTTAATAATCTCCAAAGTTCGAGGGAACACTGGAGCTGCAGTAAGCACAATAAGGATGCAAAGAGAAATGAAGATCAGGTGATTTCTTTTCTTAACATCTTAACAGTGTACTTTGTGTATGAAAGATGCATGAAATTTCAAGTCTTTTTGGCCCTCTTGGTGTTCCATACAAATTACTGTTTGTTCACATAGATATATGTACTCACATCGGTTTCACTGCTCATTCAGGTTGGTGGCACAAAGACATGCAGCTTTTAAGAAAAACTGCATGAAAATGAGGGCGTTAAAACACCCACATGCCCCGGGGGCTCATGGATACCGCCTTCCGTTTGATTTGATTGACAAAGTGCAAACAGTTTAGTAAAAAGCACAGCTTTTGTTTTTCAAGCTGCACCACATAAGGACACCATTTGGGTCTGGTTGTGTCCTAAAACAGTTATTTATAAGTTCTGCAGAGTACTCCATCTGCTGATGGGAAGAGAACCAAGACACGACGACGCGCACAAACAGGAAAGCCTCTCAAAGTGATTCAGGAGGATGACTCAGTAGGGGGCTGGAACCTGTTGGGAAGCCAAGAACGGCGGCTTATTTGGCAAATCAGCAAACCCAGTATGTGATCAACACCACAGGCCTCTGTGTGTGTGTGTGTGTGTGTGTGTGTGTGTGTGTGTGTGTGTAGTAGCAATACTGCTAATAGTGATAGAGGACAGAGATGGAAGCTGAGATATTCTTGTAGTTTTTCTAAGAAAGCCCTCTTCATTGACAGCAAGCATTGGTTGGTTTTATTTTTTGTTCTGACATCATATAGAGGTAATTGTACCTTTCTAAGAAACGAGGAGAAATTAGAGTTTATCCTGGATTTTAATCTGGTTTCAGCTTTCTGTTTGGAGTTTGCATATTTATGCGCTGTGCGTTTCTCCCACAGTCTCACATCAGGTCACTGACTCTGTGTTGCACTGCGATTAACACGTAATAGACACTAGGTGGTGCTAGAGCACCAGTCCTTATTCCGGTGCTCCATCACCTGGAAAAAGTTGAAAATTGTACTTTAGAGTCAGTTAAATAATTTTGTCCCGTTCTGCCTAATTAACAGGAGCCACAGGCTTATTTTAGACACAAATAGTCATCACTTTAAGATTAAACCAAGTCTTTATGAAGCTTGGAGTGGGTAAATGTTCATAAAAAGAAGGGTGTGTTCAAAATAACTAATAATTACATGTAATTTAATCCAAATCCATCAATAAATAGCAAAAATAAAAATTTGATGAAAATACTGAGAATTTTAACAGTTAATTTATTTATTAAATCATATCTTAATTTCTTTTTAAGGATGTAAAACACACTATAATTTTTTTTATTTTTATTTACTTACAATCTAGATCCACAGTCTTAAATAAGTTTAATGCTCCACATTTTTATCCAGCCAAGACGAAGATTTGAGTCCCTTGTTGTGCTTTTGCTTATTTCATGTCATAATTTCTGCTGTTTCTTTGGCTAAATTCAGTAAAGAAATATAAAATGATTCCGGTTCTGTATTTCATAATTTATGATTTTATCTTAAATCATTTAAGTGCAGCAGTTTCGTCGTGTTTTTCTGTGTTCGTGTGCCATCTAGTGGCCGAACTGCAACATGACTCCTCTTATGGGTGGAAAAATGTAGTTTGTGACGTAAACAACAATGGCAAAGCAACGTACTCAACTTTTGAATGGATATTTTACCTTTTTTCAAGAAAATATTAGAATGATGCGACACCAGGGCAGCATCCACAATCTGGACTGGCTGTTTCCATGGCAAAGCATGAAGTTGAAAAAATGCAGCTTTGAATTTAAAATGTCTTTATTTCTTTTTGGCTTCATGGTGAAGGTAAGTGCATTTTAACTTCTTTGGCAGCTTCAGTTAGACTTTGACAAAGTCAAAAGAACTTTTCCTCATATTTCTATTTTCAGTTATTGAAATATGTTCATGCACTTTTTTATTTTATTTTTATTTTCTTTTTTACCTTTTTACCTTGCAAAAATATACATAAAATGAGAAATTTCTCTGTTTTAGACGAGTTAGTTACTAAAATCTTTGCCAATCAGGCACATATCGGATATCAAGTAGCCTGGAACCCATTCAGAAAAATCTGATCTGTGTTGTTCAGACTGTCATGAAAAGATCAGATGCAGGTCACATTGAGGGGGAAAAATATCGAATTTAGGTACCTTCAGGCTGCAGTGTGAACATAAACAGATATATTTTTTTATGTCAGGTTGGGCAATAAATTAGTCACAATATATATCATTATAGACATGTGACCAATAGGTCTGATATAATATTCAGTGATTTCACTGAACTCCCTTCCAGAGCTGCACAGCATTCTGGGGGATGTAGGCAGAGGAAAGGCTGCAGACATCAACTAACTCACTCTTTTGGTTACCTAGCAACAGCTAGTTGAGAAACTAATGCAGGAGTAGTTTCAGGTTTCACCACTGCTCCTCATAGCTGCTTAAAAATAAAAACCAACAGCGTGAAGTGAAATCTGGATAAAACAGGAAAGGCCACGCCACCAATTTGGTACTATTTCACATTTAAAACTAAAAGTTAATTGATTATTATAGATATCGACTGATTTTAAATATTTTTCAGCCATGTCATCCCTAATGTCAAGAAGTGATTTACATATCAGCATAAAGTGAAAACGAGTTGTCATTATGTGGCGTTATTCAGAATTATCTCCATTGTTTTTATTTTTTAAAGAGTTTTTCAGAATGCATGTTAGCACCGCTGCGCTCCACTTCCTGCTCCTCTTGCACCTTCTTCTTCCTGTTGACATGGAGGAAGAGGACAAAGTCCCTCTGGAGGTCATCACTGAGAGCTCCCCCTGCAGCGTGACCTGTGGCCTGGGGGTCAAAACACAAACTCTGTGTTTGCTAAAGGACGGCAAGGCCGCGATGGAAGAAAGCATAAAGGCAGAAGAAAAGGTATCAGTGAAATGGATCAGAAATCAGTTTAGGAATAAAACATTGATAGGTTACAAATGGCTGGGATTGGATTAATACTGAGTGTCTGGAATCACTTTGATTAGCAATTTAAACACTCACATATTTTGGTATAATTACCATCAAAGCTCTGCCAAGAAAAACAAAGACCCGTTAAAGAGTAATTTTAGTTCTGCTTTCATTAACTTGCTGGTTTTTGTGTGTTCTTGGACTAAGAGCAAATTCTAAAATGATAGCTTGTTGCTCAAACTGGACTTATTTCTCAGTTGTGTCCCGGATGAACGACTGATGCACATCACATCTATTAAAAAACCCAACAGATGAAACAAAGCTGGGCATTTATCAGAATCATTATTACTCCTGTCAGGACGCCAGTAAGTCCAGCATATCAAAGACATGCAGGAGCCAACAAGTGCAGTGTGTGGAGTCGTGGCAGTGTGGACTGAAGACCATGACCGTGACCTCTGGACAGCGAGTGGAGATCGACTGTTTGGGAGAAGTCATGGCGGCGATGGGAGCGTTCTCCTGGAGGTAAACACTTCATCAGCAAGTCACTGTCAGCTCAAAAGGAAAAGCTCAAAATCAATGTGATTATTTATCTGAAATTTATGTCAGATAATTCATTTGTAATTTGCAAATTGCTTGGGGTTTTCTGTTACTCTGCAAAATGTTTTAAACAGGAAAGGTGAGGTGAGGTCGGGTTTCTGAGTGGATGTTGTGTTGTCCCTCAGGGTTTCGTGGCGCTACGCTCGAGGAGTCATCACCTCGGACGATTCTCTGTTTGACCGCTGGAAGGCCCCTGATCTGCAAAGAGTGGTTCTGGACCCAGTCAGAGAGGAGGATGCAGGTAAACACACCTGTGATGGTTTTCTAGAGGTAATGACTTCATTTCCTGTTTTCCTGAGATGACAAATTCATTTTCCACTTGTTTTCTTTAGAAAACAATTTAAATTCCCATTTTCTTGCAATAACAAATTGAACTTAAATTCCTCTTTTCCTGAGATGATAAATTCATTTCCCAACACTTTTCTTGAGATAAAACTTAAATTTCCATTTCGTTGAGAAAACAAATTAATTTCCCAGTGGTTTTACATCAATTCATTATTTCAAGAAATGAGATATTCACATTTTCTTGAGATAAATTAATTTCCCAATAATTTTGCCAAGTGAATCTCGAGACACCAAAATGACACGCATTAGGACAGATTCAGGGTTGAAACACACCAATCGTCGTGGTTTGTGTTATCTTGGAAAAAACCCCATCAGGAAATGAACTCATATCAAGAAAACCATCGGCAGAAATGCGGAAAACGCTCACTCTCAACTTTTGTATCTGTGCACAGAAGAACCAACAATGAATTTACAGTCATGTGAAAAACAATAACAAAGCCACTTGTTTCCAGGTACGTACCGCTGTGACGTTCAGGACGCCAACTATCGCAGAAAGAAGACGGTTTACTGGGGCGTCCGTGTTTTACCGGCGGGGGTCGTCAACCTGGACTACCAAAGCTCTCTGCTGCAGTGGGACGTGACCGGGAGACGGGCCGACAGCAGCGGCCTGCTGCAGATGGCCGCCGGGAGGGTTCTCCTCTACGCTGTACGGTTTGCTTTGACTTTGGTTTCCTTTCGTTAGTCACTTGTCAAAACGTCACAAACCCTGTGATTCAATTAACACCAGAGACGAAAGCAAAGCTTATTTATTTCACCATCTTGTTTCTTAAAATTGTTAGCTTTTCATATAACCAGGCACCTATAAATGCTTCTGTCTCCTGTCTAGAACGGAGTATTTGGGTCAGACTAAACCATTTTTTTGAATTACAAGAATAAATTCACAATATTATGATACTATGACAATAAGATTTGGAGCATAAAGAAACAACATTTCCACAAGAAAATCATAAAAATACTTGAAAAGAGTCATTTTATTGAGACCAAGGTATTTAGTACACGATTATGTGTGATTCTTTCTTCAAAATACATAATCAGATGGACAAAAATAAGTGGAAATTTTGGTATTTTAAATACAAAAATGACAATAATTCATAAACGTAACAAAAAAATAAAATCCGGCAAAAGAAAATTTTTACAAATTAGTTTATTTTAATAAAAAGCTGATAAAACTTCAACGAAAACTGCAGGTTTGTGTCTGTGTCTGGTGAATATTTCAATAAAACATTTTTCATTCAGTGGGTCGAGAATCCAGAAATTTCACTCACGTAAAAGTAAAAAGTATGGTGTAGTAAAAAAGTACATTTATTCAAAAAGTTGCTCAGGTAAATGTAATTAGTTACAACCAGGTCAGGACATGAGGGTCAGTCGATCTGCTCACTTTCACCTCGTCTGCCTCCTGCCATGTCAGCGTTTCAGGGAATCGTTGCTCCTCCCACTGAGATGAGGCCAAACGGCTTCTTACACCGAGACGTCGAGGCCAGCGGCTCGACAAAACTCTGCAGCATAAGAGAGGCGTGATTTCCTTTGTTCAGCCCAAACCCTGAGGACTGAGCATGATCAATGACCCATCATGTGTCCTGCCTGCATGGCTGCGGGGCAGAGCGGCCATTTTTCTAAATGTGGCCGGGTGTTTAGGCAGAGATTGCAGAGGGATTACAGCAGCTGTCAGGAAACTTTTTATTGATGCTCACATCTAATGAAATAAGAAGCAAAGCACAACCTGGACCTGTCTGGTAGAAACACTGTCAATAATCCTGAACAGCCTTTAATTTAAAAAATCCCACAAAATTTCTGTAAACACATTAAACTGAATCATTTCTAAATGTATAAATAGTTTCTTCCTTTTTGTACAGGAATAATTATTAATCCATAATTTGTCTGTCATTTTAGAGCACAAATATGACTTGAATCTGGTCCATTTTGCCTCATCACTAAAATGGGAAAAACAAGAAACATGTTGCATCATTCATGTAGGGCAGAAGTGTAAAAACTGTAAAAACACAAAATCTTACCAAGTAATTGTAGTCTAGTTTCTAGTGCAAATATCTTATTACACTTAAAATAAGACAAACTAACTTAAAAGTAACTTTTCAGCAATTTGTAGAAGCTTGTTTTAAGTAAATAATTTATTTTATTTTGATGAAAACTTTCTTGCTCAGTTGGCAGATAAAATAATTTATAACATGGGAAAATGTCTTAAATAATCTGCCAATGGAACAAGAATGTTTTCATGAATATTAAGGAATTGTTTACTTAAAACAACCCTCTATATCATGCTGAACAGTTACTTTTAAGTTAGGTTTGCATTATTTCAAGTTTGCACTAGAAACTAGACCAAAATTACCTGGTATAATTTTATGTTTTTGCAGTGTAATGTTCAAAATGAAACAAGCAAACAAACAACCTCAATTTGCCATAATTAGCAAGCAGGGCAATAATTAAAGATGTCGAACATTTGGAACTGTGATGTAAATGTATTTTGCTCTCAGACAAAGCAGTGAGATGGTTAAAGATCTCCACCCTCTGCATCCCTGAATAGAATCAAAATCTCTAAAGTATCGATGAAATTTGAAAAGTAGATCCTTACTGGGTCGTTCAGCAGGACTGATTCACCAGAAACAAAATCAGGCTTCAGTGTTGATCTGATTCACCAGACTTTAATCTGAGGTGATCTGTAGAGAAGACAACAATGTACCCCAATTAAATTATTTTGTATAGGTGTAGTCTTAGTACTTCTGCAGTAAAACATAAATTAGACTAAGAAGAAGACTAAGTATTGTCCTATTGACACATTGGGAGTCGTACAGGATAGCAATAGCACCAATTATGTTTAAGTAACCTTCATTTCCTCAGTGAATATTTTTATTTCTCTGTCTCTGATTATCATAAAATCTGAATTTATTTAAGGTTTATTTCCTTTAACATCTTTAAAATGATTTCAAGCAACTCTGGAAGACGCTCTATCTCTATATTTTTCAGCTGCATTGAAGACAATTTAGACTAAATTTTGACACAGAGAGGGAGACATGCAGACCCGAAGGAGCTGATCTGGACCAACAGCTGTAGAGTCCAAATATAGTTAAGATATCTGCAGTTTGGTTTAGAGAGTGAAGAAGAGATAAAACTGGAGAGCTCAACCTTTTAAAATAGTGAGGGAGAGTTTTTAAGGTGGTTTAGGATGGAAATACGTCTTGATTGTTAGGTTATTGACTCACCAGGCTTTGTTTTGTGTGTCTAAAACGCAGGTGGTGATTTGTTTCATCGTGACAGGCTTCTGTATTGGACTGATGTTCATCTACAAGAGAGTATGCTGCAGACGACAGAAAAACGAGAGAAAGACAGAGATGATGCAGTTAGAAAAATATATTGTAAAATAAAATAATCAATAATCCATTTTATGTATGGATAAACAGCACAGTTTTATTGTATCAGGTAAAATATTAAAAAGGTTGCTGGTGTACAGGTGTATAATCACTGTGGCCATATTCTGCTCCACCAGATGGCAGCGTTGGCTAACAGGAAAGTCCTGAGTGAAGCGTGACAACACAGATCAATTATCACCTCCCACATCATGGCTCAGCGTGATCCAGCTGCCACAAAGGAACCAAGTTATTAAAGAGGAGAATACAGAAAAGCACAACATGGGGCTCCTTAATGGACTTATGCAACACAGCAGGCAGACCAGGAAGATGTTCACATGTTCAAGACTGCTTAAAAAAAGTTGTTCTCTTGAAGAAGTCACATGCAGGAGAAACGTTTCATGACTTTATGTATTAAATAGATGTAAAATTAATCCCAGAAAAAGAGCAAAAGGCCTTGTGAAGATGCTGATTGGAGTTTCATTATGAACAGTGAAAGAGCTGAAAGGCCAATCAGAGAGGAAGAGGCCATTCCTCCAAAAACAACATAAAGCCAGAGAACGGTTTGCAAATGCCCTCATGAACAAAAATCTGGATTATTGTAATGAAACTAAAACTGAAGTGGATGATCATCATCACATCTGGAGGAAAAGTACATTTACGCCCAAAAGCGCAAAAATATCTGGATTCATAAAAGCAAGTGTGGTTTTTCCTTTATAAATCACAGCAGCACCTCAATGTTTAATAAAAGCTCCACTTCATGTTCTGCCCTCTATGCGACCACATTCAACCATAAACGGCTAATGCAACAAACCTAATGCTAAGCTAAATATTTAGTAGGCTAACTGAATATTTGGTTCCAAATTAAATATTTAGCCAGCAAGCTGAAAGTTTGAAGCCAAATATTTTGCTCTGACCTATAAATACTTTATTAGCAAGTTAAATACTTAGGTTTGACCTTGATACTTAGTTAGTAAGTTACCAACTAAACATTTAGCTTGTTAGCTAATTTTTTTGGCAAGCTAAATATTTAAATATTTAGCTAGCAAGTTTAATATTTAGCTTGAAACTGATATGAAAATGTAACATTAAGATGCCCATTTCTTCTAAATAACCCAAATTGTTGCTGTTAATCTTTGACTGTGTAATTATACAACTGGCAGCCCAGATTCTTCTATCCAGTTAGATTTTTATACATCACAACCTTTGTGCGGAAAGGTTTTGTGCGTACACCACATTTATAAACGAGGCCTCAGATACTGCCACCAAGGCATCGGGGTGTTGTGTTTGTAGCTTAGCAACCATTGAACTGATGACATCACATGCATTGTGGGAAACAGCCGAGGCTGGAATGTGAGCCGTTGCCAAAATTAAAGCGGCGAACTCTCTTATGCGGACGGAAACTGACTACCAGGAGTTTAATATCTGGGCTGCAGAGACGACACTTCCCAGTAACGTGTCCTGGATGACACCATCTGTTGTTGACAAGCACTGCTAATCCACCTCCTTTTCTTTTCTCACTCTTTAAATCTCTGTCAGGAAGCCTGGCAGAGAGAGCAGCGGATATGATCCGCCCGCCATGTCTCAGTAAAACACATAATACTTCATTTTAAAACCCTGGCTGAGTCCTGCTTAGGGCTTGGAGTTCATCCAGCCTGTTAGCCAGCAAACTCCCGTTGCTCATTATGATTGTTGGAAGACAGCGTCTGAACTTCCTCCTTCTTTCTCTCCTTTGCCATCACGGCGCCTCCTTTTCAACTAATCTGGGTTTTGTGTCTTCAGTTGAGGTATTATTTCAGTTTTTGTGATGCTCCTGGTTGTAAACCACCTTGTTGCTATGGTTATGCGTCATAACAAATTCCCCAAAGCAAAGAAAGTATCAGCTATAATCCTTCCAGCTGCACAGCATCCTAAAGTAGAGAGGGCAATGGTGCAAAACACACATTTTCTGCCTGAAATGGAGGAAGTAAAGTTAAAAGAAAGGCAGCAGAGCGACTCCAACATGCTGCCACCTTGACTTGAGCAAAACTGGAACTTTTTCATTCATTAAGATGACAAAGAGGCAACAGGCTGCCATACCCAGACAAGGTGAAAGTCAACATCATCCCAGCAGTTCCAGACCTAAACAGGGAGGGAGATTAAGAGGCGATTACTGCAACAGACTCATCGGTTTGAGTTATTTTGGTGAGAAGCCACTCTAGGGAAATAACAGCAATGCAATTATGAATATATGCTCATCATAATTCAGTTATTTTCTCGTGCAAGTCGCCGAGCTCATCCCTGAACAACACCGTTTCCCTTTGTGTGTTTAGTTAAAAACACCAGTTTAGTGGATGTAATCGCTGTTTAATCATCGTTTCGCATTAAAACACACATGATACCACACACACATGGAAATGTTGCTTTTTGAAAGCATTTTGGATAATACAGAGGAGATCATATGTTAGACTTTCAGTAAGCACTGGATAAGCTCTTGGGAAATGACAGCATCAATTATTGTTCATGTGGAAATTAAAATTAATACGAGGCTGAGAGGTCACAGCATTCACTGGCTGTTTATTCACATGTTAATCCTGTCATATTCTCCATGTATTTTACTTTTCATTACATTAATATTTATCCAGATGTGATTTTAAGTTTTTAGTGTAAGTACCTGCCACGTCAGGCTTCTGACAAACTGAAACATTTGAGTCAGAATCTCTTCTTGAATGTGTTTAGCATTAAGGATGACTCTCGTTTTTGTGAATAACTCATTAGTCACTGCAAAAACATTTAAAATGTTGACAGTGAAGACTAAAGTTTCCACTGCCAGACTATTTAAAAACCATTTTCAACGCCCAGATCACCAGATGGCAGAAAAATGGAGAACTCTGTTTTCTCACACTTTGTAAGCCTTTGAGTCGTCTCTGCCCTGATGTCTGAGGAGGAACCACCAGGATGATGCAAGTTGTGTCGTTAAAGAGTAACACGCCACCTGTGGCTAATTCTGCTTACATGGTTTCCTCACAGCAGCCATATTTTAGGACAGCTGGAGGAATATGTTGTGAAAACTAACAGATGAGATAGTAAAGCAGGTTTTATCTGCTCCACTTTTTAATCAGTTTTAGTTTAGAAGCAGAGAAGCAGAAGCTTGGATGGATGACGTCTAACCTGGTTTTATGACTGACTGAGCCGTGAATTCAGCTCGCTAAGAGAGATTCCTGAAACACAACCTCCAGGCAGAAGAGATTAAAGTGGAGACCAGTGCTGTTGCAGACTTAGTAACTTTTTGCCAAATAAGCGACTAGCAACGAATCTAACGACTTTTTAATGAATTATTGTAGGCTTTCATGGAGACATGTAAAAGCATTAATTCCTGACGTGCCACCAGGGGGCGTGTGTCTGAGTAAGATAGTTTTATCTCCAAACATGGCGCTGTGCGTTGTAGACTATGTCCAAGCTGTAGCATTAGCTGCGTTTCCATTACAACTATTCAACCCAAAGAGGGCAGCACTGAGGTGGTTTTAGGCCAAAAATTGCAGAATTAAACAAATGTACTCAAAAATGTCGCACAGAAACAAAGACAGGACCCGTAAGCACCAGATTTTAATCACTTATTTATTTATTTTTTCTTGATTTGGGTGTTAGTTACTCTTTAGGCTGAAATACATTTGGTTTAAGTTGCAGAATAATCTGAAGTACCCAAAGCCTGAAGAATGTTTTGGAGTTACCTTGTCAAAGCCTGGATGTAATCTGATTGGGATTCTGGGAGATGGCTTTAAATAGGCCATTAATGTTTAACATCATTAACATTTCTGTAAATAAAAATAAGCCAACATTCCTCCACAGTAAGAGCTGATCTTCCTCTAGGTGTGGGGCAGCCCTCAACTGATTTCTGGTTTCAAGTAAATGAAGAAGGACAAATAACTGTTTCTACCCTGAATGATAGCAACGCACCCAGAGATGGTTCCTCGCAATCCCAAAACTATGTTGCAACATTTCCTGCACTAATCATTAGCAGAGGTAGTAAGTAGGTCTGCCTAGTTGTCCAGCAGCCATTTATTTCACTGCTCTCTTTCAAGTCTCACTCAAACCTCTGAAAGAGGCCAACCGATGCGCCTTAATGATGCTTCATGATGAATTTTCTTTGCAGGCAGAGTTTTAATCATGCCCTGGATATATAGCAGCGTTTCTCAGCTGCTGAAGTGTCCTCTTTCAACATAATAACACAGAAAGGGAATGCACCGTCACTCATGGTGTCCTGATTGGTATTTATCTCACTGGCTTCCTTCGAGCATCTTGGTAAAAGGACAGAGACTTTGCATTGGTGAAGTACTTTGAGTCGTCTTTAAATACAAGTTCTCTTCAAGGTGATCCATTCA